ATAGGTGCAAATGAAGCACTTTAGATGCTGCTGTTGCTCTGTATAGTAATACAGTGTTCAGCTTGGAAAAGTGTAAGAAGGATGTTTGTTGCGCATTTCCAGATCATACATTTTCCTTTGACTCTGTTTAGAGACAGATACTTAACAAATGTGTCAGAGTCGATACTAACAGCAAGATAACTAACTGATTGTGTTTCTATCCTTGTAGACGAGAATAGTATTCAACGTCTCCACTGACTGATGAAGGTGTTCCACAAAATGATTCTCTTTCTAACCTTCTCTTCTTTCCTTTTACATGATCAGCCATCTTCTACGGAAAAAAACTTATTAAATATGTCTACTGATTTCAAATTTCCATATTCTTCTTGAAATAAATGACTTCTCTTACTGAACGATTGTCTGTTGTTAATGGTTTCACACTCAATCCTTCTAAATGCCAAACTGTTCACTTTGGCTTGGGACTTGAACACTACTTAAACACTCTATTTGGGTCCCATAATGCATGCACTGTTGGGGAGCATTTAATAAAAATAGTGTCATAGGTCATTTATCTTGATATAGGTTTTTACTCTGATCGCTCTTGGTCTTCTCATATTTAATTGTGATCGAAGGACCTACACCGCACTTATTGTGAACGAGAAGAGATACGCGTCCTCCCAGTGGTATGATCCACTTAATGCATCGGTAATGGTAGTTCCATTAAGAAGTGAGTTTACGCTATCATGGCTAGGACAGAGAAAAGCTAGAAAAATTCAAACGCGAGCAATAGGCATTTTATGACCGGAAAAGTTCAGGCGCCTTTACGGAAAGTTTGATATAAACAAACAACCATCACTGGTCAATGAAGAGTTGAGCGAAGAAATGAGTGGGTTGGACCCTACTGAGTTGACCGACATGTAACGTAGAATACCTATGACTTTATTGAAGAGATAAAAGGAAAAACAGGGAACTTAATTGTACATTTCAACCGTTTGAAGCAGTGTAAAGTGGCAAAGAAGAGACAAAGTTGTAATGAAAACGTTCAATCATTTCTTTTATTACTTCATATATCAACACTTTCCAGGAAGAATCGAAGGGCAGAGTTCAAGAGTATGGAGAAAAATTAGTTCGACGAGCATTTTCTGTGACGGTTTTATGGAGAAAAGTTCTGGATCGAAGTTTGAGTCTGCAACGTGGAAGTAACTAAGTGTCCTGTCGGGTGGTAGCTGATTGTTGGTCAGGATTCGCACCAGAAGAAATGCATTTACCGCATCTTATTGTAACTTTTGTCACTGTGCATATAGATGATTGTAAATTGAGACTCCCTTTCCTTACATTTTTGTATGCAGCGTAGTAAATCTGCTACACTTGAACTCACAGGGATTTTGTGTTTTTTCATTGTGAGGTGAGGCCATTTTCTGAGAGTGGAAACACTCAGTGTTATAACTGTTGATTTTTGATACCTTTTTGACTGATATTTTTATATGACTGAATAATCTCTCGCAAACAATCTATACATGATCCATCCAGAAACATTTGAATAACATTCCCAGATTTATTGGAATTTTTGTATGTTAAACGTGGTAACTACCTTTTATCCTTTATCATTATACGTACCTTGTGTTCTTTAGGTTCGTTTATTACTTGAACAACTGTTTGCTGAATAACTGTGTGCCAATGTTTGTTAAGGTAATAGTGTACATTTCAAGTTATCAAAACTCAGAACCATCCATTATCTAGCCTTCTTTTTCCAGATTTCGACTAGGCTAGAACACCTGAAACAAAATTAACCTCAACAGTTATTCGACTATCCGATTCGCTTTACTTATGATAGTACACAGATCACGCAGACATTCGCGACAAGGATAATGTGAAAGCTTTGGCATTTAGTATTATGTAGTGTACTATGCACGGTAATACGATGGGGGTTAACGTCACAACTTAGTGTGAGGTAGTTTGTTTTCATTCACTGCCTCTCTTCATAGTATATTGTTTTGCGAGTCATAAATGTACACGATTTGGACAACAGATTAACAAGTGGTCGAAAATAAGCTTGTAGTGGCATTGAGCGCTAACACGAGACAATATGGGAAATAAATGTTCAACATTTTACGCGGAGAAAAACCCGACGATGAAAAAGGCGGAAACGATTAATTGAATTATTCCGAGTTGATCGGATGGCATGGCTCGGCCTTGCAGGCGTGGTCACAGCTGAATGTTCTCTTATGTCTTTTATTCATATTAAATATCTTGTTCCATCTCTAGCCTAAGCTTGTTCTCTATCATGTCTTGGTAATGGTTACAATGCAGTTAGTTGGTGTAGACGATGATGTACTTTCACGTAAGATCTTATATATTAGGCAGTTATATCATGATAAATCTACAATTTTAGGATTGGATCTATTATTAAAGCAGTACTAATATCATAGTAGACCATAATTCCGCAAGTCTATTCTGTGGAGGTAACTATGAAATGTCACTAAGCATCATATATATAATGGGAAATTATCTAATGCGAAAATCGTCGGATCTATTATAACACTCACACAATGAAGATTTAATGTAGACATTCGTTCGAATCTACATAGACCCGAGCGAATCTGGATTAGATACCGTATTTTATTTAGTTCTTGGATTTGCGTAGCCTAGTACATTGATTCGGTGTCGGTCAAAAACTGACTCAAACCAAATACGTAATATTGACTGAACGAATGAATGAAATCTAAACTTCCGGGAAGTTTGTCCCAATCTTACCGTCACATTCCTGCATCTGTATTTTCTGTTTGACCCTAGAACTCAATCATTGAAAAGTTAGTAAGTAGTAGTGACGTTTAAAAAGTAAAGAGGATAGTCTTTGGTGAATAATAGCGCATGGTGTGAAGTGAAAAAAGAGGAAGATGGATTTATAGTTGAAAAATAGTATAATCATACGCATGTTAAGTGTATAATTTGCAGATATATGTACGTCCGCGTTGTATTGTTGCTAAATTTGTGAGGGTTGATGTTTTAACAAGCATATTACACAGAAGCACAACATGCTACCAATGTTTGTGGGAAAATCATAAGAGCTGCTTATAGCAGTGGTCTACCTGCTATTTTTGTCGGTTAATTAGTTAGCCGAATTTAAGTACTAATCACTGCCAAAATAAGACATTTAAAATTAACGCTAATCGAAAGACTTACTCAATGAAGGCAGATGCAAAAATAAAGTAACAATGAAAATCATCATGGTTGTGTATTTTAAGGTCTTATTCACCAGTATAGATCCGCGTTGCCGATTTGTGTCGATGATCGGGTTCTAGTAAAAAAAATGGGAATGGTGTGATCTCCTAGCTATTGTCAAAGTTACACTTGGTGATCAGTTCTTAACCTGGAATTCTTTATAGCGATTGTTGGACGAATCGACTCCTAAGATGACTGGCTATAATAAATGCTCTCAGTAAGCGACAGCATATACTAGAATTGCACGATACAGAACTACGAGGCAGAAACACTTTCACATGCACTTGTCCATGTTATGCAGTTGGTTGGCACACATTGATTTTCTCTGACCTTCACAATGCCCGGTAACCTGTTTGACAGTCACTGATTTGTTTGGGGATGGTTAGGCTCGATCTCAGTAGATTTTCACTGACATCTAAGGCTAAATTATTAGGAAGTCTATATCGACGGTTACCTGGTTCACTTAGCAGCGATCAGAAACAAATTTTGAGCTAAACTAGCTGAATTACATTCGTAAAAATGGAGTTTCCACGAGCATGATTAGGGTCTGCGTTGACAAGCATGAGGTTGTTGACAGATGAGATACAGCTTGGAAATGGAACTTGATGAGCTATTTAAGTTCATTATTTCGCATTACTGAACCGTTTATCGAATTGCAGTTGCAAGTTGAATGTTTTTTCTCCGTTGGGTATGAATTTTACCACTACAAACTGCACACCTTATCTGAAAAAATTGTATGGGTATTTTTATGCATACATGTCAACCACTACACTGATCTGACCGTACTATCCCTACCTTTGTCTAGTAGTGAATAAATAACTTCCTTATTACATAAAGGTAATTGTGGTGTTTGGATAAACTTGTAGTGACCTACTTTTGTCAACAGAACGCGATTGGTTCGATGAAAACAATTATTATTATAACCAATTGTACCAGTGACTGTTTTACTGTGCTCGTCTGTTTAACTATGCTAATGACAGCCATTACACTTACTCTCCCGTTGACTTTGAACTTGTACGAATTCGGTTACGCTCAGTAACCACGCTTGTACTCCTTTGGCACGATCTCGGCATTCTTTCGATACCACGAGATCGCCAACAAATACATCTCGACTACAGCCATCATCTGTCTTCTGATATTGGCCTACGAGGATCTTATTGGTTAATTGGCACGTAGTCTTGTAGCAGTGTTCATAGTCAAGCTCAATTCGACACCACGTTACAAACTAATGATTGCTTTGTACTTGTTGAATGCTTGATTTCGAATTCTAAATGCAGTAAATTCCTTAGTGCTTGTGCAGAACTTCTTGATTCAATTGCGTTATTTCTGGGATTTTTAGCGCATACTATAATTCAATTACTCCTAAGTATCATAGTAATGTCTAAAATTAGACAATCAAATGGTAGGATAGTTGATGTTATTGCCTTATTTCAGAAAAATAGGTAGGCGTCTTTACCATTGACTTCCAGTTGAGTAAAATAATAGAAAGATATGAATAAACGGTACATTCATCGTTATAATACTTCCGGATAATAAATCAAACTTCAGTTCTATTGACGTGATGTCCTAATTCTTTTTAAACCAGGATTTAAGTGATTTGTAACAGTGTGATCAAAAAGTTTTATATTAGGAATTTCGAAAGGAAGGCCTTTAATCTAACTCCTTTTGAAAATAATTGGAAAACTGCGAGTTGAGTGATTGAACATATCGAGACCTGCAAATATACGTTACAAATGTTAACTGTTGTTTGAACGAATTAGTTTTGTAAACAAGACTACTGGCGTGTCGTTTCATTCTTGATGATGAGAGTTCTGGTCTTGCCCTTATTCGCCCTTTTTTATACATTAGTTGATGCTGTTGAGTTACCATTAACACCAAAAACATGTCAAGAAGTTTGCGTCACTAAATTTGATGTAAGTATATTCTACCTAGATCATATGTTCGTAGATGTAATTATATAAAGTTCACACTTATTTTTGACAATTTTCTCACTTCTCTTCACGTCCAGGTGTTTGTTTACTTCCAGAGTCATAGGTTTTGTTCAGTCTATTCTTTACTTGTGGGTACAGCTTCAAAAGCACTACACCAGTGTTCACTGAATATGATGGTAACTATGTTTTCCTAAATTGCTGCCATATTACCCTGATTAATGATTTAAGGCTTAGGAACAACTAATAACCTTAGAAAGCATAGGCTAGCTGATGATATTTTGTATCTAAGTCGCGTGGCTATGACTTCGGTGTTCTATATAAGTAAATGAATTTTGCCTCAGAATTCAAGACCTGCTATTTTAAACTTAATTTGTTCGTCCATGAATTATAGTCTTGCCGAAGTTTGGGCTCATGTTTCTCCAAATTTTGGTTCTAAAGTTGTCTTCACCTAGGGAATTCAAAATGCCTTTGAGTTTATTCCTTTTAAAAGGTATCATCAAGTTTATTGTCTCAGGGTTTCAAGAGTGAGCATCTGCTTCCATTTTCGCATTCAATCAGACTAAAATATTCATTTAAAATAATCGATCTCATGTTGGTTTTTGTCGCCACCCAATGTACATTCCTGTAGAGAGAGTTATTGTGTAATGGTTGGAGACAGAGTGACAGATCTCAGAACCAATCACAATGGCATAAGCGTATACACTTTGTTTACCCTCAAACTGTGAGATCAAAATTGCTTTATATCTTTTCCAATTAATTCTCTCTTCCTGCTTTATATCCTTATACACAATCCTTATGTATTACTACCGTTAGAGTAACTACTATGAATTTGGTGTTCATCTTGTTGTTCTAATGAGTAGTGACAATTTGGACTGATGTATATATATGCCTATTGCTACGTTGTAGTTGGCTTATTTGACTGACTATTCTGTGGCAGAGTTACTGGGATTTAGCTTGGGAGTACGTTTGCCAACTGAGTTCCAGTTCAGCGTCACTAAATTGCTTCGAACAAATAATGCTTTGCAGATGCGTGGACTTTGAATACTTCTGAATTATTTTAGGTAGTTTCCAACTGGTTGACTAACGAGTTGTATTGTTCTCGCTTTTCATGATTTAATAATAACTTTGTCTCCATGTAATATAACAACTTGGACTGCCACGTATATGAAAAACGTCACTTTTTAACAAATGGAATCTCCACTATACAGATAGCATGTAGGCCTCTCGTTAGTCACCACTTCGCGGAATCCCTGGTTTGATAACCGTTTTACAAAATACTTTAGTTTTGCTTTCAGTCTGGTCATCATACTCCGATGGGATAGCTAACTGTCGGTTGCACAATAAAATGACTTGAAGATAAATTTAAAGTGGGTAATTTGTAAACATCTGAGAATGGGGCAAAAGTCACGAAATGTGATATCGGAATTGCTTTCGGCACTCGTGACTGCTGAAAAAATTTGCCTGTCGTTACGTTTTGAAGGGTAGGCAATTTATTAGTGTAAATAGTCACCAGATAGTGTCACTCATTTTTACTGCTTGCCACTATTCAATTTTTTCATAGCTGGGTTATCTGCTTTTCAAGTTTGCCTAGTGTCATGGCTCTAATAATCGTTCGATTCGAATGAAACTTTTAGCATCTAATGACTTTCAAGCGTTCCTTCATAAAATGACTTAGTAAACCAATCTTTTGGTGCAATTAAAGCTGTTTATAATACCTCTAACAAAGACCAGTTCACCTTCAGAGATTTTCAGCTGGTTTAAAATTAAGTTGTTTGACTGCAGTAGTCATTAATAGCATTACGAGTACCTGGCTCTAAAACTAACTCATGAACACCATTAATTACATACCACGATATGTTAGTCTAGGTGGATCTACAGCAATTTCAACATTGTCCGGTCATTTCTCATGTGCCATGCTTCCAACTTTAAATTGGTAGTTCGCTTTCCTCTTTTTTTCTTAGCAAATATTTTCTTTTAATCGTACGGAAATACTCAAATATGAATTGTTTGTAGGGGGCTGAAGAAGATGCGTGTTCCAGAGGTTGTGTTCTGTCAAACTTGAATTCATTATTGGCAACATTTACTTGTGAAGAATCTTGTGATGATGTATACAAGTCGGATGTAAAGTTAGTTGCTGCTTGCAAAGTAGGCTGTTGTGCAACTCCGAGTCACACATCTGTTGGGTTCCTACCAGTTCAAAAGTAATGTGAAAATTAATTGTGAACTAGTCTTTTCAGCTTCTTTAGCACATTCTTCGACAAGATTCGTAATATATTCGGAGGTGTGAATAACGGTATGATTTCTTAAATTACTTACTGAATGTTTGCACATATTCTTACTCCCTAATATTTTTTCCAGGATTTTTGTTCGGGTCGTTTTAACTACCAAACTCAGTTTTCTATTTCTGTAAAATAAATGTATTTTGATATTTTGTAGTGATGAACCATTCACTTCTAATTGGGACTTTCAGAATAAAAGTAGTAAATATCGAATGACATAGGATCCTTTTGTTAAAATGCTAATGTTGAGTTCACATGAGATGTCAGTGCAGAAATATGAAGAATAGAATTCAGTGATCAAATAAAGATTGCCATAATTGTATAGGTGCTGTTCTTTATCTCAGCCTTAGATAAAACGTATTTAGAGCGCACACTAACTTGACCAGCTGTAAACGTGTGATGATAAACATCTCTGTAACCCTGCTACAATTAATTTTCAGGCATTTATTACGTTAATTTCTCTCACTGACGTTTCGTAGCGTTTTTTTATTTTTCTTTAGGTTCGGGAGCCAGTGTGGATACCAAAGGTAATAAGGTAGAGGGCGACACTGATTCAGATTCTGGTAATCATGTGATCATATCACGCGTTCGCATTTTCCATAACTTTGCTCCATGTAAGTTTTAAGCAATGTTTGTTATCAACTTCAGATTTAGATTTTATTATGTTTTTAACTTCTTTTCACAATTATTCGGACATGCTGGCTGGTTTTCTACGCTTTTCAGCTACCGCTATCATTCCGACCTTTTCAACCTCCTAAAACGGTTATAATAAAATTTGTGTGAGGGATTCATGCACAACTATAATAAAAGTTGAAATTAGTTATTCCTAGATTATCTATTCCCGCTTTTTGACAGTCGATAACCTTGCCAGAGTACTTGGTCAGTATGTACTAATTGGATGGAAGCGGTTGTTATATTTCATTATCTGAACACTGCATTCTATTTTGTCAAAGAACATGTGTCATATCATTGCTTGTCACTATTAGACAGATCATAGAAGTGTAGAAACTTATTTACTCATATATTGTTGGAGTTAGCTATCTCCTATGAACTGGTCGGGGAAATAATGTTAAGGTCAGTCTAATATTACCCTATCTAATATGTAATCTCCCTCACTAGGTCAGTAGATGTTTTATGTGTTTTTTTACGTTGTAGTTATAATATGGAACAAACCACCTGATAATTAAACCAAAAAAGATGATTAGCGAGATGTCGGACTGTAGGCTATCGGTTTCAATTTGGACATGCTATATTGTGTTGTTTTGAACTTTGACACCAACCAGTTTATTATTGTCAAGTTTCGTATATCATACATCACACGTTTCTATATAAAAGTTCGATTACTGTGGTTGACTTGTCAAATTTAAATCTCAATGTGTTAGTTTTTCCGAATCGATTTCCAACCTATAGATGCAGTCCTTTGGAGCAGATTTATACAAATGTAATATTTTTGTTTAATAATCAGAAGAAATGTATGCGATACAATGTTTTTGAGAAGCGCTTGTACTTTTTCATTTCTTAGATGACGCACATGAAAATCCACTGGATTCACCATTCAATATAAAACCACTCTTTAGTTTGCGTGAAATTATTCCACAAGATGATGATGCTTATTTCAAAGCTGCAAAAAATAATGATCAGAATATTATTCGTATACATGCTGTCGGTGATGATGGTGAATCAACCTTTCGTGAACACCAACCCACATTTGTTAAAAAAGCTACTTACTTCTTCCGTCATATTATGTTTCGACCACTTTTATTACCACTACTTATCGCATTGCTGATTGTGATATTATTATTAATGGTGAAGTTAACTATTCACGCTTGTCGTGTTCGTGAACATCGGCACATAGAGGTAAGTCATGCAAACTTTGACAGTGAATTGATGTACGAGATAGCCAGTTTGTTTAATCAAGGATATCAGAAAGTTATGCAAAATTTACGTTCGACAATTTTGTTGGTTTGCAATGAAAGTGAATCTCATTTTGGTTAACAAAATAAGGCACAAATAAAAACTTCAAATCAGCGTGTTCTAATAAAATTAATGATCAATTTTAAGCTTTATATCCCAAAAGAATGTTAGAGGACTTAATTACCGACCTTCATCATCATACTAGATTCTAAGCATGTAGATTACTTTTACATCGTGTTGGTGTGACATTCAAGATCGAAATATTCATTATGCAGCCTCAAACAGACCATAAGGTACCCCAATTCAACCTGTCTTCAAAAGTAAATAATTCCAAATTATTTTGTATTTCTTATTGAACAATCTATCGTTGATAATGCTAGATCAGAAGTCGAAATACAAAGATTTGTAGGCGTACCAAAAAAGCAAACCAATTAGAAACAATAGCTTAATGTTTTCAAACTTCAAGAGAGTTTACAGAATGTTCTCAACCAATCAGTGAATGTCCAACCCGACAAACTGAGCAATCACCAAGAATTTGACCAAATATTCAAAAGTATTTGAAACAAGGCGACTACACTGTCGATTATTAAGTTCTGTTATAAATGTTTTAATTAAAAGTCAACTGGAATGTATTACAAATAGAATATTCATATAGTCATGGTTTTCAATTATATGAGTATTGCATACCAGTAGCTTACGTCGATTCTGATCAGTTGTAACGCTCGGTGAATTTGTTCAAACAGTGTATTCAGAAAATCGTGTATATCCAAGTTCCGGAGGTGCCAATAACTTGCCCACTAGCATTTATGAAGGTTTATATTATGTCATGCTTTCATGAATTCATCGAAGCCATAGTAGTTAATATTCGATGTAGTTGTACAATGTTTACTTGTTTCCTACTATAATTTGGTGTAGTACAGTTTTGTAGGACATGAGAATAATATTATAGTATGTGTAAGATTAGCTTTCATAGTGGAGAAACAAAACGTTTCATGCCAGTTTCAACTTCTGGTGCCGTAATGACGTTTTAGTTATGAAATCTTAGTTATCAAACTCTAGAGCTTTATACTTGTGAATTAATTTTTCGAACGTGAAATATCTTTCGGCTTTGTTACCAGTCATTATTACTTCGGTCACAATATCGTATTGATAGTGCTGTCGTCGGACGACTTTATGCCTTGGTATGGTGTAAAGACTGTTATTAAGTCCATGGTATAATCGTAAAACATCAGTCTCCGTGACTTGAACATGTCGTAACCACTCAATCCCGGTGGCTTGTATACCGAGCACTGTTTGGTTACCCAGTGACTATGTACCAGAAACAATTCACTAACAGTTTTTGATTCATCATTTAAAAATTAAAGGTAGTCAATTTGACAACAACTGGACTGGATTATCGTTACTACGTGAATAAAGTCTACATTTTCCAGTTTATTGATTTTAGTACTTATCTTTGACGACTCAGCATCGAAGCCAGTGTCCATTTACTGGTGTTTTACTTTTTGTCCAACATAAATACAAATCCGCTTTAAGCAAAAGGAAATTTATCTTGACTGTGTTTGGATGTAAAGTATTCTCGAGCTATCATTTTATGATTCTCTCTTATTGTTACTCTAATTTGTTTAGGGCATTTCTTTGTGTTTCAGTAATAACCGTAGATAAAATTCGTTTATTTACCTTCGGTAAAAATCTCTTTGTAATATTAACTTTTTTGGGAAGAATCCATCATTTTCTCCAAATCTTTTTGCTGGATATCAACGAGAGATTACCGTGACTCCTTGTACCTAAGTTCATTATTCTATGGAAAAATAAATATGTGGATACATTAAAAAAGTCACTTGAGTTTTATTATATTTATATCAGGCAATCTCTCACTTATTTTCATTGGTTTTCATAGATCCTGGTGAAGGTGCTTTGCATTCTGAAATGATATATTAAGAAATATCTTATTTTCAATTCATTTGTAATAATTCGTAGGTATTGTTACCAAGGTTTGACTTGATAATGTCGAATAAATTGACCATTGGGTAGATTGTTTTAAATAACTAATATATTTGTATTAATTGTTCGAATATTCTAATTGATAATTTGAACAATTGATCAGTCTCTCCACTCTATTGTATAAACCAGTGGCTATCCCGACTCGGTAGCTGAGTGGATAACGCAATGGCATTTTTAGTGAACAGTACCGAGTTCAAGTTCCGGAGTGAACAACTTTGGAATGCAGGTACATCCAGTTAAAGAGTCCCACACTGGATGAAACGCGCGTCCTGGATTCGGTTGCTATCCATCTGTGCTTATATTTTATTTTTAACACAATTGCATGATTACCATATATTTATAATATGTGACGTTTCTTTTTTCTTTTCAGTATACTCGTTTACCGACGTATATTGAAGCAATGAATGTGAAAGTCCCATTGTACGAAGATGTTATAAAATGTGAGAAGTCATCCGAGAAAGGCCCAATTGATGCCTAATCTCTACAAATTATTTGAGAATATTTTCGTTTTTTCAATATTTGTGATAAACACATTATTCTGTTATCATCACCGTAACACTCACTCGCTCATGAATGCATTGGAGTAAATACTAAATTCCCCATTTTTTGTCATTATCCCCTTATTTTGACCGATTTTCTGTTGTGTTGCTTTGGTCTATGCTATTGCGTTTGTCACTCCTCAAACACTAAGGTAAACAATGAACTGAAACACGTTTTTTGTGGCACTACTTTATAGACCAAATTATTTCTTATTTGTCTTGTTGCTCTTATATTAATAACTGTCATCACCACTGGATTTTTTTTCTGATCGCGTTATTTTCATAGACTTCTTGTTATTGTTGCTTCAATAAATATCGTATCAAAATATTGTATTTTCTATTTGAGATAGTAACGATTGAAATGTGATTTGTTTCTGTTATCATTTTGTACTATGTTCATCTGAAATTATATTCATTTGACTTATGAACTTATGGTACATTCGAGGCGAAAGTAACTTAAATGGATAGATCAGTAATTTTTGGTGACAAAAGTTTGTTTCATACACTTATTTTAGTTTTAGTATGAAGTGAAGACTTATTGTGACTAAATAGATGGAATTATTAATAATTTGTTTTGTTTCTTTCGCTACCTGGATTTATATCTACAATTAACGAATCATCAGTTGTGTCGGTGAAGAGCATTATCAATATGGTTGCAAGTTAACCTGTCTTAAATGTAATTTGAATATATATACACATTAGGTTGTAAATAAACGTTTTGTGTAAGTGTACTGAAACTGACCCTCAATCAATATCGAAGTTTCGAGTTCGTTGACTGTGAGTTTTGTCAATTTATACCAATTATTGAAGTGTAAACAGATATATTATTCAAATTAGAAAGGGTTAGTTCTTCCGATATGCTAATGATCAGTTTTGTAGAACCTATTTTCTATTTATAAACCCCTTGTAACTATTGTTAAGCCTGGAAGTCCGTTAAAGTAAATCAATCTATTGAAGAATCTGTTAGTTTTTTGTTAAGTGCATACTTAATGAGCACTACTATATGGTTCTTTGAACTCGGAGTTATTAATCTGCGTTGCTTGAGATAGCTCATTCATATATTATGTGTTGTTACTTCCTGTATGTTTTCTGATTTTATCCGTAAGGGATAGTGTTAAGTTTTCCACTTGAATCCACAAAATGACGGGCATTGCTAGTTCGTGACTTTAAATAATATAGCTGTGAATTGGTAGCAGTGACACATATGAAAGTGGAAATTGATAAGTACTAGGCACTTGTCTCGTCCTATTTGATTTTAACTGGGACTCTAGCTGATCTTAGTCTGCAGTTGAGGCTAGCCTCAATTTGAAAAAAGCTTTCTGCCTTAGTAACGATTCTTAATACTCGTTTAGTACCATTTCTAGGGTTTTATAATGTGAGTTAATTTAATTAAACCAGCTTCAATGGAATACCAACACTGAAATCAAAGGCATATCTTATACCGCCTATGAGGCATTGCAGTCAATTTGTGTGAAAAATCTACTTAACTATCTTACCTCATATTGTTGAATTAATAAGAATAATTTTTATGTCATTCTACATGTTTTAGTTCATTTCGTACTTAGAATAACACTTATCTGATCATTGTTTAAAAATTAAATAGTAATTTGGAAAACCGTGATGCCATGGAATTACTTTCTAGTTTGGAAAATCAAGAAAGAATTGTAGGAGAAATTAATTTCTTACAGTAATATTATAGATAGGAGAGAATGAGAGTGTCGACCTTCACAACTTAGGGCTTAACACCAGACGCAATTAAGGAGATAGTTTTAAATTCTTTACAAAACAAGTTCTTTGTAAAGCAGTTGTAGTGTATTAAAAAGAAGACCGGAAGTTTTAAATAAAAGAACAACGTGATTGGTAAAAGTAAAAACAGCTTTTTAAAAAGTCAGGTTTTTATAGATAAACATTTCGTAAATCGCATGCATATTATTTATTAATTTTATTTGAACACATAAATATTGGTACGAGGGAGCACCAAATATATATGCATATTATGTAGTTTCATGAAATAGAAACCTCGAAAGTGGTGGCCTAACAATTGATAATTTCGCTCAGCTATTTCAACGCATGGTACTATTTAAATATTTAATCTAACAACCACAAATAAACTGGTAGAAAAAACATTCGTCTTATCACTATACGCCATTCATTTGTAGTGTAATACTCGTGAATCATTTATGATTGACGATTTCAAATGCATCTCTATGGCCTAATCCATCATGTTATTTTTGATTATTCAAGTTCATTGAAACGTATTCTTACTAATGAGTTAGGATTCAATTTTATTTTTACATTGTACTTGTTACCTAGAAGTAAACTAATCAGTCAGTCAGTCAGCTGCAACGTAGGACCAGGCACGTATATGCATCGGTCCAAGTTGCCATACCGCATTAGCACAACAAGATGAACACCGGATTCATAGTAGTTAATTCAGTGGTGGTAATATATAGAAGAAAGATTGTGTATATGGAGATAGTACAGGAAGAAAGAATTAGTTCCTAGACAGATATGAAGCGATTTTAATCTCTTAATTTAAGGAAGACAGAGAGTGTATACACCGACGCCATTGTGATCGATTCTGAGCCATGTCACCAAGAGTCTCCAACCATTGGTTACGATAGTCACGCGGACCCCAACCAGGCAGTCTGAATCTCCCAACATGACTCAGACCAGAAGTTAGTGACTTCAAGCATTGATGCCACGTTTTGGTTTGGCCGCCCCTAACTTTCTTCCAATTATCCCCTGCACTAGTCAGCATTGCGCGTCGTGGTAATCGGTGTTCAGGCATACGCAACACGTGGCCCAACCATCTCAGTCGATGAAGATTCATAACCTCATCAACTGATTTACCATCATTCCCTAATACCCTGCGTCTAACCTCACTATTACTTACCCGGTGATCCCAGCAAGTAAACTAATAGTCTAAATTTAATAAATTGATATAACAACTTTATTGACTCATCTTTGAACCATGTGTTTTTGTTTGAGACCCGGTCATGTACTATCTGGCAATGGCAATGTAAATGGTATGTAATGATTGAAAGTCGACTAGTTTAACCATCACATCTCCACTCTGCTAGTAGTTTAGATTGGAAAATGCGTATAAATGAACGATATATTTAAATTATAGGTAGTTAATATACGTACAATCGGTTCAATGACTAGAAATATATTAATCATTGTGTATACTATCCAGATCAGTTGTACTATCACACCATTTGAATCAGCATGTAAGTGCAGAAATTCTTTAATAAAAGTTACTTGGTCCGTAAAAGGCATCTAACTAATCTTAAATAGCCATAATGAAGATTTACTTACTAACACCTGCTACCACTCGTGGAAGATCATAGGCCACCCACCAGCATTCTCCGTGAAACTCTGTCCTAAGAAATCCTTTCCAGTTTCTATTCATTTATTTCATGTCTGCGTCCAGTTCTCGGCGCAATATGTTTTTGGTCTTCCTGTTTTCTGTGGTTATTTACGACTCATTAGTATATGTGAACATTCTTGTTACTTAAGTTAGCCACTAGTTAATATTATCGATTGTACGAAACTGTAAAGAATATAGGAGTGTGCTTTTAAAGAGTTTGACAAAAGTAGCTATTCGTTTTTTTTAACAGTTGGATACTGGCTGATAATAGAATCTAGGAATCGTGTTTTCCGCTATCCAGGACTCGTTAGGTTTATTTACTTGTATCCCAGTATTGATTTTCATGTTGAAATTTGAATCTAGTACTTTCGGTTTAAGCACCTAAGGTGTTGTCCACTGAGTTACTGAGCCCATATAGTTATTAGCCTAGACAAAGGGTACAAATTTTAATTATAAGAGCTTGTTTTTATTTATTGTTGAAATGGGAAATACAAACTCTTACAAATGGGTGGTTATTCATTGCTTTAGAGTATTTCTAAAATTAGTTGTTGCATTCTTATAGTATAATGACTAAAATTAAACACCAGCTACAAAGAAGAGAAAGTAATCGGACAGTTTAGTCAAAGTAATTTTTAATGTAAATAATAAAAAAAAACAAAGTTCTTTAAACGTGATTGCAGTAGCCTAATAAAGTTTATATTTGGAAATACAACACCAATATCTTTTGTTTGTTATCATTGTACCTTGGTTTTAACAATGTTTATGTGCACATACACATATATTCTGTGTTTTTAGGTTTTCTCAATTATTATTATTATTATCATTATCACTGTTATTACTATCATTACTATTATTATTATTATTATTATTATTATTATTATTATTATTATTATTATTGTGTATTCTTGAATACCATGTCAGTCCGAAAATTCTGTTTTCTATTTTATTATGAAAAGCTTTCCATTCATTTGTATTTGTTTTGAGATGGGGGAGAAGACTTGTAGCTCAGGTGGATGATTTTGATGGTGTTTGGTTCTCTGAGCTGGATGGTTCGATCGTGGAGCTTTCATCGTCCTTCTGGACGACATCACCAGCACAAACTTCATTGAGGTGTACAGGACAAGCTGTGAAACACATATGGAGAAATTCGAACGCTTCACTTCTATCTGAAGTTTGTGCTGATGATGTCGTTCAGAAGAACGATGAAAGCTCCACGATCAAACCATCCAGCTCAGAGAACAAAACTCCATCAAAATTTGTATTTGTTTAAGTTTAAATTGCATCATATGACATATTTCTCCTAGAAAAAATATTAAAGATAATCATTAGTTGAAGAATATACTGTTAAAGTTTTTCTTTTAAACTCAATTTTTTCTGTATGATGAATAACTTGTACTATTTTAGAACATAACATATCTATTGTCCAACTTGTAAACAAGTAATTAATGGACAATGAAATTTGTTGATATTAGTTTCTTGACTTTTTATAACTTTATAATATGATCCCTTTCATTTTCATTCATAACTATTGATCATTTGGGAATTTTATTGTTTTTACACAATAGGCAGTTTAAAACGGTATATTGTATTTGTAAGTTAGCGGTTTGAAAAAGAAAATGTATAACCATAACTGACTTTTTGATATTTATCATCAGAACAAAAATGTACTACTTTCTATTACACTAGAAATATATGATTGTTTTTATTTGATAGTTATACTTATTATTTAATCAACTCCATTTATTTTTTATATATTTGTGACGTTAAATTTCTGAGTTTGATTTATTCCCTGTTGGTTATGAGCAGTCAACGAGTACTTTGAATTCAAGGAAATTGGTCTCTCTCTTTAAGTTTAAGTTTTGTTCTGTAAGGGTATCTTCGGTAGTAATGAGTTTTCTGAGATGATGTCTTAATTAGGAAGCTTTCGTTAGCGTTTAATTCCAGTTCAAGCGAACATTTTTCATTACTTTATAAGTATTCAGTCAATCTATTCTGATAACCTTGTTTCTGACTGTTTGATCTCCACAGGTTTTCTATCATTTTTAACACATCTTAATGATGAATCCTTCCATAAATTTATCACGTTAGTGTTGAACTGAATTATGTACATGAATTGGTCATTGTATGAGCCAACATTCTCTAGTTGACTCAAATATTTGAAGTTTGTACTGAAGTAAACTATTTTTTCTTCCGAGTTTCTTTAAACACGAGCTATATTCGGCTGTTATTTAATGTTATTGCACTCGGCTTTCAATTAAAAGATCTCAGCTTCGTACCCCGTTCCTCCTATTTCTGTTTAAGCAGCTGGTTAATTTCATTAGTCCTTATACCATAAATGTAAATCAGAGTCCAATACATAAATCTGTAGTTCGTTAATTAGTTAGATGTAACATTCATTCGCTCAGCATGAAAGCCGTAAATATCATGAAATTACTATGTGTTGTCTCATATTCTAGGTATTTTCATGTAGCAGTTGTTCTGTGCATCTTTTTGAAAAATATTATATAGATAAAAGTGAAATTTGGTTTAATAACTTGATATATTTTCTGCTTTTCTTCACTATACCCTTTTAGTAATGGCTAAAAGTATTTACGAATATGTTCGAAATTTCGAAATTATGGATCCCTGTCTTCCCTCCACATGGATTGTTGTTCGTTTAGATGGACAAGGTTTTCATAAATTTACAGCAAAGCATAATTTTATCAAACCAAATGATACACGTGGTTTATCGTTGTCAGTACGTGCAGCAGAACGTGTTATGCAACAACAGAAAGAAATTGTTCTGGCTTATGGTCAATCAGATGAGTTTAGTTTCGTATTTAAAAAATGTACGGAAGTGTTTAACCGAAGAGCAAGGTAAGATAATTGTTGCCTTGTTAATTGGTACCACAAATTTTTATGTTTATGTTTGCCTTTGAGTTGTGTAACCAGTCTGTAATAGTTTATTAATTAACTTTACATATATGAATGTGGTCAAATCTATTTCCAAATTAGTTGACCATTAGTATTCGAAAGTATGGCATACTATCCTAGTGTAATTTTCAAAGATAATCTAGAATATGTGCTTGCGCTCACTTATGCTGATGAACTGTTGGTGATAGCTGGAACGGTAATGTATTTATCAACCAGAGTATTGAGGATAAATTCAACACCCATACAACTAAATACAGAATGAAATTCCAAACTGTATAGATTTTGGTTCTGTCAGAATGTCTGTTTCACTGTAAAACATTGTGCATACATAACTTCGCTTATTGAGGATATTCAAATATAACTCTATACAGTACTTGTTTTATCCTATAGAAATACTGAAGTTTGACGATGTTTTGAATATAGTGAACAATGTTATTTCCATTGTTTACTTCATTTATCTTTCAACAGATTTTTCTCTTTTATAAACTATCTACTTACAAAGTCTGTTTTCTAATTGGCTAAGAACTGGCTGAAAATTTGTCGCGGTCGCTTTTTTGTTCATTCCCATAAACCATACTCTTACTAAAATATGTCCAAATTAAAATAAAGAATCAACAAGGGTTTAAGAAAAAGAGTCACATCATATATACACTTTATAATATCAAAATTAAAGTCAATATAACTAGGTTAGATTTTATGATTGGCTTTATCGTATAGATTAACTCTTTTGTATTTTGCATTCATGTCTTCTCACTGTATCCCGTTTCATATAATGTTAATAGATGAATCTTTAGGATTTATTTTATCTACAGATATTTTATTGGAAAATTTTCCGCGATATATAATATTTTACATGATGGAGATTTTGAATGAGTATAACTGCGAACACATTTTATTAATACCATACAACCGACCCAAACAGAGATCGGTGGAAAATTAATACATAGAAATGCAGATTATTACACATATGTAGAGCAGTTTTTAGGGGTTAAGTTCCTCGACTTTTAACCACTACGTCTCAGGTTCGAAACCTTTTACTTTAGTCTGGGAAACCAGATAGTATCACTAGCCCTCATACCTAAAGTTTTATTCAAAGTCAAGTACACGAATCTGTATCTAGTAATGAAGTTCTACTGTCTGAACAAAAACATTAAGAACATACAAATGTTTAATTAAAGTATAATCCGACTCACGTAAGTCTATTAGCCCACTATGCATTACCGTCGAACCAAAATCTATGCAAAACTTTATTTAAATTAGGTTTAAACCTGTCATACATTATTTTCTCAGTTTTGCGAACGAACAATATTAATTGACATAGGGAAACAAACACTAATGAAAAAACAACTAGTGACTAGAAAATAAGTACTTATCATCCGTACAATATCAATCTATTGTTAGATAATTTAAGATAATTCTCACTAATATTAAACCAAGCCATAGTGTCGAATTTTTCATCGTCAAGTTGGTTAGTTACTTTTCCTGAAAAGACTATCACTTCTATGTTTCACAAATTCTACTTGCCAGTAACCCGCTTTTCTCAGTAAGTATAAATTTCGTGTATCACAATTAGTCGCCCCAGTTACGGTGTTCCAGCCGATTAGGTTGGTAAAGCCTTTTCTGGTGAGGCCTTAGTTGGTCATTCTGGAATGGATTCCGTGTTTTCAATGCCCACAAACTCACTGCGTGGATGTGGTTTTGTGGGGAACCACGGCTCCACATATCTTTACATGTATCTCTGTGTCGTAAGAAGAGCAAGTAAAGGATGCTTGAAGTTCTTACTTACCTTAGATAGGTATAGTCTACATGCGTACTAGGTAACACAAAAAATTCATCCGAGTATTTATTTTGGTAATATATACAGGTATACCTTCCCTGTGAGTGAATATGGGTTCCATGCAAACCTGTAACACACTGGTTTTACCCAATGCATCCCATAACATACATATAGGTATATTGACCCACTTTGGAGGATAGATGTTGATCACTTCCTTAGAAAGGTATTTGCTGCACCAGACCGTCTCTTACACATTACATCCATACCATTCAGCCCATGTCTACTGTGCCAGTACTTCCTGATACACACATAAGCACTCTCTCAGGGTAGGTTGTTGGTTGCCTCCCTCTATCGTATTTGCTAACATGTGTTTATTGTTATGTCTTCGAACTGATAGATTAGGCCGCTGATTTTATTAGATATAGGACAGATAATATATCAGCCAACGTCCGCGCTATACGACACCACACATACACCCTTTGCATACATCTACATACATAGACTACATAGACCCGAGGACTTCTGCAGTTTTTATACATAAGCATACAAATCACATGGCCGGGTAAGGTTATGTGAACCTCAAGTAGAACCCGAGTTGGTCAAAGCTATAAGAGAGTGGGTAATCAGTCCGATCTCCGTCGTCCGACTAAGTTTGCAGGATGAAATGCGCGTCCTGTATTCCACTGCTAACCACTATCTATCTCTGCTTATAATTACCGTAAAAGTATTTACTGAAGTTACACTTAGAAACAAGTGACCTTTCTTTTGTTTACACATGAAAGTTGATGTAAAAGTTAATCAATATGTTTCCACCATCGTATGTTATTCAAGGATGATAGATAATACAATAAAGCCTTTCATTCAAAAAATTCGAATGCTGACTTCAGATCATTGGATATGACTAAAGTCGGACGTATACCTACGGGTAATTAAAAGCCAGTTGAACCATTTCCTAAACTGTTCTACTCATGGTGTCTGGAAAAATCATAATTTCCCAGTGAACCCATCTTCGATATACTGATAATCCTAACCTTTAGGTAAAGCTTTTTTGCCAAGACGTGATATCTCTCCTCAAATTATTTATTTATTTATTTGAACACTTAAATATTGGTACAAGGGGGCACCAAATACATATGCGCCACACAAAACAATGAGAATGTAAAGAGAACGGGAAAAAATGTAAAGAACGTAGGGAATTATAAAAAAAAGAACAAAAATGAAGGAAACGAAAAGGTACAATCAGAGGAAATTTTACAGTTAAGGAAGAAGCAACCACTCTTTACGAAGAAATTAAAAGAAGGTTACAGCAGGATCGCCACTGGCTTCTATTCTGAGCCATATCTGATAACGTCTCTATCCACCGTGTTACACCGTCTCTCGGACCCCAACCAGTGAGTCGTAAAGGACCAACAGAAGCCAGCCCTTTGCAGCTTTCCTTCATACCACGACACCATGTCATATACTGACCACCTCTCCGCTTTTTCCAACCAGTCCCAGAGTCGGCAAATAATGCACGACGAGGAATTCTCTGGGACGACATTCGTAGAACATGTCCAAGCTACCGAAGTCGGTGTTTCAAGATGGTAACACCAACTGGATTGTCGTGACTGCGCCAGAACACACGATGCCGAACCTCTGCATTACTAACATGGTGTTGCCACTGGATGTCAGCAATCCTTCGGAGACAACGATGATCAAACACAGAGGGTCGTCTAACGTTCTCAGCTCGGAGAGGCCAGGTTTCACAAGCATAGAGCAGAACTGCTCTCACCGACGCGTCGTAGATCCGACCTTTTATAGCCAGACTAACATCGCGAAGGCGCCAAAGATGGCCCAGATTGGCATAAGCCGCTCTGGCTTTCACTATACGTGCATTGATCTCATCACTCACGCCACCACAAACAGCACTTATGCAGCTACCCACATACACGAACTTCTCGACCACTTCTATCTGCTCACCATCCAGAGTGAGTACAGGATTAGAATCCTGCTAGTCTTGTGGAAGTACTTTGCACTTCGAGGGTGAAAAGCACATACCATACCTACGGACACTGATTGCCAACTGATTAAGTGCGGATTGCATAGCTTGGGCATTATCGCACAGTAAGACAATATCATCCACATACTCAACGTCGAGAAGTCTTTCTCCAGGCAACAGATCTACACCGCCATTACTTACATCCATCAGAGCTGTTTCCAGAATGTCATCGATGGAAAAGTTGAAGAGGATTGGTGAGATTGGGTAACCCTGTCTAAACCCACTGCTTGAATGGAACAATGGAGAGAGGTGGTTGTATGCCCTCACTCTGCCTGAGATGTTCGTATATAGGGTCTTTAGGCTGTTAATAAACTTCTCAGGCATACCCTTCTTCAATAGACAATCCCAGAGAACAGTTCTGCCCAACGAATCGAAGGCAGCCCTGATATCAAGAAACACTACGATCGTTGGCCTTTGATAAGTATGACGGTGTTCTAACACTTGGCGGAGGTGAAGATATGATCAATACATCCTCGACCAGAACGAAAACCAGCCTGCTCCTCGCGAGTCAATCTTTCTCGAGTTCTGAACAACCTACGAAGTATGACGGAAGACAATAGCTTGGACGCAATCGGAAGTAGACTTATCCCCCGATAGTTTTTACAGGAACGGCGTGAACCCTTTTTAAAGATAGAGACAACTATCGACTCATTTCATGACATTGGTACACTCTCTAGTTCCCACACCTTTGTAAACAACGTCGTCAGTTCCTTAGTCAGAAAGTCACCACCATCTTTAAAAAGAGCCGGAGGTAAGTCGTCTGGGCCCGGTGATTTGTAGCGTTTCAAGAGTTGGAGTTCCTTGCGGACTTCCGCCTCATCTGATGGACCAATCGTCACCGGCCATGGAGGGCAGAACAGTCTGACCGATGTTGCCGGAGCAGCAGGCCAGTTGAACTGCCCTTCGAAAAATTCTGCCCATCGTCCAAGACGTCGATGGATGTTAGTGATTGGCGTTCCGTCATCCTCGCAGATTTTTTCGCTCACACCAGACTTCTTGCTGCCAGTGGCTCGGATGAGTTGGAAGAGCTTCCGGTAATTACCAGATGCAACTGCTGCTTCTAGCTCATTAGCACGCTCCGACCACCAGGCTTCTCGGTCCTTACGCAAGCTTTGTCCAATTTCACTGCGTAACGTCCTTTGTCTGTGGTGAAACTCACGGTCACCCGGAGTAGACTGACGGGCTTCAATCAGTTGTAAGGAACCAGAAGAAACCCAGTGCTTGTAAGCGGGACGTTTCGCGAACCCACAACAGACTGTACCCGCCATTTTCATGGCGTCATGCAATTGCAACCAATGCTCATCTATACTTTTCGGTGGAATGGTAGCTAGCCTAGAAGCTAGCTCGATTCGATACTTACTAGCAACAGAAGTTGCAACCAGCTTGCTAACATCAATCCTGTGGTGGCGGTCACTTCGTTGTCCACTGAAAAGTAAGGTGAGATTGACACAGACCAGGGCATGATCAGATTCCAGATATGTACTCCAAAAGGAGCGGCAGTCTTGTACACAACCACGCCAGCGGTAGCTGATCGCGATGTGATCAATCTGAGTCCAGGCTTGAGATGCAGAAGGTGGACGCCAGGTGGCACATCGGCGATGACTGTGCCGAAAATTAGTGCTAGCCAGAAACAGGTTGTGGTCTGTGCATATTTGCAGTAGACGTTCCCCGTTATCTGTCCTGCGACCAACAAGTCCCCATCGGCCACCTAAACTACTCTCTTCTGTGCCTAGACGCCCGGCCTGAGCATTCAAGTCTCCAGCTAGTACTACAATATCTGTCGAACGCACTTTTGGAGAAGAACAGTTAACTGGTGGTAGAATTCATCATTGATTGCATCCGGGCTGCAATCTGTCGGGGCATAGGCGGAGACGACCAAAAGACATCGTTTCTCACGCCTATTTCTTCTCACTTTGATGGTACTTTCTAATCTAACAGCACATAACCGACTGTTAATTGGGATCCAATCGATTAGTGCTGCCTCAGCTCTAGCGCTTAGTGTGACACCAACGCCAGCAAGACCAGACGAAGATGCCACAGGGTCCCCGGATAAACGCACATGAAAACAAGCTTTTTGAAGTGACAGATGGAGAGCGAACTTGTAGTACTTCACCAGAGTCTTGAATACGGGTCTCGGATAGACAACACACGTCAATATTAAGACTTTCCAAAGGCATAGCCAGCCCTATCTGTTGTCCGACCTGCATAAGTGTGCGAACGTTGAAGGCAGCCAGTTTAAATGGTGCACGTGGTTTCAGAAAAGCTGCTTCAGTACTCATATTCGGTGGTAACATACAATTTTCAACCAGGCAGTGACTCGAGAACGTTTAGATAAAGCTGAATTTTCACCATAGGCGGGCTGCTGTATAAGTCGAAAAATAAGGATAGACGAAGTGGGGAAGAAAGAGAGTGAATAAATGACGTGATAAATTATAATAATTATAATGTGAATTGTCTGACGGTAAATCGCGGCGTGAATAGAGTTTTCAAAGAACATCATCATTTTCATTATATTTGTGTGGGCTGTGATACTGCCCGGGTGCCCAGACCGAAGGAGGTGTTTTTCTTAAGGGGTCACACCCCGAGTCTTCAACCTAAAGGTCTAGTCCACAAGGCAGTGGAGCATCGTGAGGAGATGCAGTTCCATGGAAGCCGGTGACCAAGAAATTGGTTCATACGCCATTTGTTCCTTCAGGACACTGGAGCCCATGTGCACCATTGATTTGGGATCCCGTTATAGCGCCGGACATTCGCTTTTCGTCCTCTCAAATTTGGGGGCACTACTGAGCCTGACGGGGGTAGTTGAAAGAATGAAAATTATCACAATTGATTGATCACTGGGTGGTGACCAATGTCTAGTCCCTATTATTATTGTAGATCGAATGCTATCGACCATGTTGCAATGTGGCCACCAGTTTAGGTGACTCGACACTGCGTGCATTATGTTGAGATTAGATGGTGGTTTGAGGTAGTCCACAGGAAACCCTGGACTCGTGTTTCGTGCTACTTGGCACTCGTCGGTGGGGTATCCCGGTAATCTTAAGGGAACTGGTGCTCCCTGACGGATTCAATCCCGTGTCACCCAGCTTCACAATCAGAAACGTTAACACTAGGCTGTGACTTGACACACATGACATTGATCACCACCCAGCGATCAATCAATTGTGATTACATCTCAATCCTACAGGAGGTCGGTCGTGGCCCGGATAGCTCAGTGGTAACGTATCTGACTGTGAAGTTGGGTGGCACGGGATCGAATCCGTCAGGAGGCACCAGTTCCCTTAAGATTACAGGGATACCTCACCGACGAGTGCCAAGTAGCACGAAACCCGGGTCCAGGGTTTCCTGTCGATTACCTCCAACCACCATCGAATGAAAGTTATTTACATTTATATTTCCCAGCTGTATATTTACATTGTCTGGAAACATTTTCTCTTAATTTCAAGTTACCAAAATAGGTGATAAAGATAATTCATATGTGAGTTTTGAAAAAATAACTTAAACTAATGATTGAAATTGACATGGTTTAAAGCCAGTCCCACTGATGTAAATGGATTGATTAGTTGTTTATCTTTTCATTCAGAACTACCTATGTGTCCTATATAAGACCAAATGCATATCATCTATTCACTTGGTAATCTTCACTTCTTTTTTTTTTAATTCTGTTATTACTATCTTTACATCAATTCGATCTATACTTTAATTCCTTTGTTTTGTGCGCTCTTCATATAAATACATATATTTTAGCAAAATATCCAGTACAGTTGTTTCGTTGTTCACATCTTCATATGTTTTTGAATGGCCAAAGTATTTACCTGATACTCCGTTACTGTATCCACCAGCGTTTGATTCCCGAGTAATACTTTATCCAACGAATAAAACTCTCAGGGACTATTTAAGCTGGCGTCAGGTTGATTGTAAGTTTACAATGTGTATTTTTTGCATTTAAGCCTTACAAAATATAATGTCTAATTTCATTCTATTGCAGAGTAATGAATTTACGTTTATTAGTATAATCAAATTTTATGTGAACTACTGTATCTCGTTTTATTTTTATTTGACCAGACATTGTACAAGATAAAAGAGTTCCAAAGAGAACAGTAAGAAAATTTTGTTATGATTACAAACCGACCTATGTTAGACAATCACTGAAAACTAAGAGTCGCAAGATAACTGTTTTGCCCTAGTATGGGACCCTTCATCAATGAGGATCCGTGACTCCACAACTGGGAATCGAACCTCAAACCCTTTATCATATGTGTTAGTACTTAATCCTATAAGCACTGAACCGCAATCCAGTGGTGTAGATGTCAACGTTATTGTGTGACCACCTTCCATTGTCTTCGGTGGGTACGTCCCTCGCGCTCCACAATATTGAACTGCGCACTAGTGAACACTTCTTACTAGAACTCCTTTAATTTTTTCTCGAAGATACTCACTAGCAAAAAAAAATGAAATTTCTACTAGGTACAAAAACCTTAAAATCTTGGGATGAAATAATTACTAGCTTATTTTTTCTCTTTTATAATAAAGCGAAATAGAGTTAGTTTTTTAAGTGAATTTTGGTGTGATGCTGGAAGTCATAATTAGTTTTCTTGTCTACATATTACTGCGTATCAGTGCCTCAAAATTCTCTGGTACGCCCGAGGTTGGGGTGAGTCAGCTCTCCCTCGCGAACTGCTCGCACATGGCCACTCATTTACAGCCAATCTCAGGGAGCTTCTACTCACTACCTTCTTGCGGCGGTGGTGTTTTCACCTAATTGAGAGGATAAAAGGCGAATGTCTGGCTCTTCAACTGGTTTGGTGAATATGAAAGATCCACCTAAGGGAGGTGGAAAACCCTGATTCCAAATTAATGGTGCATATGAGCTCCTGGATCCTGAGGAACAAATGGTGGATGGACCTATTGTTGATCACTAGGTACCATGAGATTGCCTTTCGTAACGTTGCATATAAATTTGGTGCCACCTTGTATCAATGTTTATGCGTTTAAATAAATAAATGAACTATATACCAATATCCACAAAACACCAACGGCTTAAACGAAATAGATAAAAATGCCTGTATATGATTTATATGTTGAACTGTGATTGGTTAAAATACACTCTGGAAACTAGTAATTACAAAATAACTCTTTCTCCCCCTAATTATTTGGAACCTAGAATCACCAGACTCTCTGGTTAACATGTTACTGTTAGATTGTCTCACGTAAATTTAATGATGTCATTTCACAATTATAAGAAAATTCGTAATAGGAAGGGTAGGATTGTCTATATGTTACCATTTATAGTGATAAACAAATATACCGGAAACATTGGTTTCGCACTTACAGGTTTGGTACATTGTTCAAGTGCTTTATTCACACCAGAGTATGTGTTACTTGACTGGCTAGCAAATCTATTTTTATTAATGAAGAGATGAAAAAAAATCGCACTCAGCCATAAGAGTGCAAATAATCGCTAGTTGATAATGACAAGCTTCTTTTTTTGTTATGATCATTACCTACACACTGTTACAATGATTAAATATATCTGTAAATATAATCTGTATTAATTTGATTTAAATGATAGTTACAATAGAATTTGTTTTTAGACAACTAATAATCTAAACAGTCATTAGGCATTTAACGAACACAATTAGTAGCATATAAACTATTGTGACTAATCTAGTCAGTCTAACTCATTTATTTGTTAAGTGTTTATCATGAACTGATCGAAGTTAGACCACCATTGAAAACCCGGAAGCATTGGATAACCGCTCCGTCCTATTATGGGACTTCTCAGTCCAACAGTGCGCATCCATGACTCCACCTGCGGGACTCGGACCCATAACCTTCAGCCTCTCACGAGAACACCTTACCTCTAGACCACTGAACCGGCACCCAAAGGTGTTAATTTCTAACTCTCAACAGCCTACGATGTGGCATGACTGTCTTCCATTGTTTCTGGCGAATAATTGCCTCACATCGTTGGTGTTATTCAGGTTCTATCAATCATTTTAACAAATAGGAATCAGTGGTAATGACTCAATATTACGGTGAACTGTGTTTGATATCTGATGGTGGGTTGGCATCTGTAAGAATTTCTAGCCGACACTTGTTTTCAATCCTAATGGAAATAGTGTACTTTAAGCTTTTCAAATTCAACATCAAACATAGTTCACTACGATACTGAGTCATTTAGATTAGTGATGATCACATTACATATTTAGTATTATTAAGGACTAGATTGTATGGCATTAGTTACTATTTAGTAATCAAGTGGTGTATTTAATTCATTTCTTAGTTTGTTAAAAATGTTTTTCATCCATTATTATGCCATATAAATGTACTATATCTCTTTTGAATGTACTTTGAAATATACATTTTTGGTTATTTATCAGACGTGCTAATGTACACTGAAACTATCTATTCATATTTATTTCTGTTTTTAAAGGGTACATTAAAAGACAAAAACAGAATATTTACGTAACCAGGTATTTGTGGTATGATATAATACAATACGTTTATTTTACTACAGTGCTCTGAAATATTTTCTAATCGTCCATTTGAGAGAAAAAATTACTTTACTATTTTCATTCTGTAAGAGACTCATTACGATCACTATACAATGCAAGTGTGTACATATATATGTATTTGTTTCTCAGTTTATAAGAATGAATTTTATCTACTAAAAACTGATGCAGACAGTTCTATACCGTATTCTGACTATTAATTACTAAAGTGCATTTTTGTTCGTTTTTAAAAATAGTGATAATGGTGTAGTAAACGAACAACTCAGGTGAGAAGGACCAATTTATTGTTTGTTGCAAAGTTACAGAGTGATTTCTTAAGATATAAAAACCATACATTATTTGCACATCTTCTTTCAGTTGTCTTTTACATGCTCCATGATTCCTTCAATTCTGTTGTTATCACAATTGCTCTTTGTTTCTCTTCCTGTTCTTTTCGATTCGATCTTCACAATCTTCTGCTGGCTGGCATTCCACTTCTGTTTAGTGTTACACACTACTTATATCTGTCAACATAAGTAGCATATACTACAATGGTACTGTTAAGATTGATATTTGTATACCTCAATCGTGGGTGAAAACAATGATTATTAATTTGTTGAAAACAGTGTCAAAACAAAACCAACTCATAAAACTCATTTATCTGAATACTCAGTTTTGTTATGAGCTTTAAATCTTTGTAGCTGTTAATGTGACTGAAAGAATTTGGAAATTTTTCAAGTGGATGATCAGTAACTCTCGGGCGGCAAAATCATACTTAGTCAATTATATAAGAGGTATTGAAGGAATTATTTTGTTGTACCTTTATGTTTCAATGATACGTATTTCTCTTCTGTGATATTCTCTAAAGCTTAAGTACATTTGGTAATCAGGCAAATATATTTCTGTAGTTGTTTCCTTAAGATATATTTCCGACCTGTATATCAGAAAGAAGGATCATATATACTTAATTGTTCAGTTATTATCAGGGATTGTATTTGATTTTGTCATCATTGTTTATGAACTTGGACAAATTCCATCTTTCCATTGCATTATTAGAATATGTCTTTAATAATATAATCACCGGTGAAATTTCACTTTAAGTACTACAATGTCTTCGTTTGATATTTACTAATTAATTTTTTGTTATAAAGAACGTGAGCTGTCACTGTCCTACTACATTTTGTTGGTGGTTCAAGAGAGCTGCCATATAGCCAGTTGAAAGCCTAAATGTTAAGTTATCGGAGTACTCGACTGGGAACTCCAGATCAAGGTTTTTTTCTAGTTGAAATTCCTCAGCTAGGCATACTGGAAATCTTGAGAGAACTATTTCAGACGCGCTCTACCCAGCTACACAGTTTCGTGTGTTACCATCAAGCTTTTTGGGCGTCGACTGACCTGTAGGACTGAGGTATTCACATCTGATTGATCATTGAGTAGTGTCTCATGTCATGCTTGTCTATTCAGTGATTAAGTAGCTGTGAAGCTTGAGTGTTCATAGAATCATATGCATATTTTAGACTATAGATTATTTGGTAGAGATGATTTTATTATTCTTTGAAAAAAATCCCCAATTTAGTGTGTTCACACTAATGCTTCGTACATAAATTTATTCACTTACTTATTGTTCTTAATACTTCGATAACTCAGGTAGCATGCTGATACCTGTTTTTATCTCACAATATGAGAGATATTTTCCATATTTGTCTTGTATTCAACCTTATTCAAACATGAACTATGCAGTATGTGAAAATAAATAATGGTACATGTATATAGTTTTATTTAATCTACTAAATATGTAGTATACTGTAGTCCCTTAATGTGTAGCAATTAAGAAGAATAGTACGATTAGACTCAACTTTATTGATTACTTTCCCAAAAGGTTTGATCCAATATGTTAGTTGGTCTATTGTTCAGTATTTTTGGTTAATGTACTTTGATGAGTTTGAATTTTTGTTTTGCTAATTAAATAGGTTTTTGTCATAATTTAAGAGATATTCATTTCGGAATAATGTTTGTTTCACGAAGTATGGTAAGTGATTGGATTTCAAAATTGAGTTAGTAGTGATTTAAGTCTAAATTTTGAAGGCCTTTTCTTGTCAATTGACCACAATATTAAGTTTTGTAGTTCTATCACGAGTCCTGTAGAATATTGAAACAAAAATTAGTTATCAGAAGGGGTTTTGTGGAGATTTTAGTAATTTCAATAGCTGATAGGTCCTTGGTTCGAATCTCGCGGGGGGATTGTGGATGAGAACTGCTGAGGAGTCCCATACTAGGACGAAACGGTCATCCAGTGCTTCCAGGTTTTCCATGGTGGTCTAGCTTCAATCGACTCATGATTTGAACTATTGAAAATTAAAAGTAGTTAGTTGAATTTATTTATTCTATTATAAATAAGGTTAATTTCTATCGTCTTTTGAATATGTTTTATTGATAAATAGCGTCAATTTATAGTAGTATTATGCACTTACGAGTTTAACATTAATTTTTAGAAATATAAGGCCATGTAATATTGAGTGTTTTTCTCTCTAATCAACCTTATAATATTACTGTTGTCGATTATAAAAAAGTATACTTTAGTGTATGACAGTTTACTGTATAAATATCGCTAAATTTATGTCAATATCTCAGACAAGTTATATATATATATATATATATATATATATATATATATATATATATATATATATATATATATACGACCATACTGTTAATTATATTTGTTTTAATTTTGATACTTAATTCTTTGTATCCTTTCATAAACAAACAAGTGGGTTTGGAGTAAACTTTTGATAGTTATTGTAATAATAATATCAGTGTTCAAGGCAACAAGTAATTACTAAATATTACATTTATAAGAAAATAAATTTCTTATAATAATTTTTATTAATAGTGTTCATATTTGTGCACCATATTATAAGGTTATTTTTTTATTGAAAGTTTACAAAATAGTAAAGTATGGTGTGGGAGGGAGACAATAAAGAACGATGAGTATAAGTAATATTTTTGAAAAAGTCATTCAATCATAGTAAGGATACAACGTGGATAGGATTTACACATCGGTTCACATGGAATTTAACAGAATGAGAAACAGAGGAGATGAACGTCTACTTTGCAAGCAAAATATAACCTAGAAGTAATAAACGATATTAAAGAATGGAATGTTTAGAGTGGCACTAAAAAAAACCGAGATATTAAAGAAAAATAAAATAAGTCGCTCTACTATAACATATCCTGAGCCATATCATCTAAAATTTCTAATGTAACACTGAATAATGTATAATAAACAATCATTTGGACTGAAAATAGATTAATGAGTTTCAGAGAAAAAAACAGCTGAACAAGCCAGAATATATTTGACTTAATTACCAACCGATGAGATAGTTGGAAGGATAGGAATTGCAGTAAAAATGTACCATTAATTATTTAAATGTAATGTATAAATGTGTTCAACCACTGATCATTTGTATGGCATGGAATTGATGACAGAATTTAATTTCTCTCCAGACAATAACAGTTTAGTTGATCTGGTTACATCAGTTTCCAACAACTACCACAAGTTATAACTCTTCCAAACACTAGATCCATTCTCATATAGCAAATGAAACTGAGTGTTTTTGTTCGCTCAATAATCATGAAACATGATATCAAAAGATAAACTAAAGCCAATAATAATCCAATAATACCATTCTACTTCATGTTTATAATATTACATCGAACATTTTACAAACAAAATTAAGATTTCCGTCGATTTCATTCAACAATTAATTGTGTATAAATCAATGTTTTTATATAAACCGAACAACTAGCTAAATAATACAAATTTGTGATTTATGTATTAAAGTCTTCATACTTATTGATAAAATATAGGTAATATGTAGTCATAGGTAATAATAAATAATTTATGGTTATATGTTGTTTTTAAATTCAGTGGTGGTTAAATTACGAATTTCTGTTTTTGGATTCTGTTTAATACATTTTGGCTTATCGGTTGATAGATCAAGCCTGTGTCAACTTGCCTATTCAACGTGAATTGACCTGACACTCTATAGAGAATTCATATCTTCCTCAATTATTTACAAAGATCGTTATAAAGCATGGTTTTTTATCATTTAACTTCTGATCTATATTAATGGATGAATAGTTGGTGTATTTTAGTTTATGTTGCAAATAAAGTTGATTTTAAAGTATATTTTGTGACTAACAGGGTAATACATAACACTCGTTTCGTCCCATTTACGACTCGTCAGCCGAGTACATCTGAATCCCAGTGTCGATGTTTATACTGAATCTTAAACTTTGGATCTTGGGATGGAAATGCATCCAATTGACAAGTACCAAATAAGGTGATACGTTCATCTTGGATTCCATTTCTCTTCACATACCATATGCACTAAAACTGGTGAAATAATGCTAAAATAAAAATAAATAATTTTAAAAGTAGTATAATCGGTTATTATTATTTTAAGACGGATTTATACCCGATCATTCGTGCAGTGAATAACATTTTACAAACAGTTAGCCTTACTAATCAGGCTATCAATAACCTAAATTCAAATTCGAACAAGGCTACAGCTGGTTATTCTAAATGTTCATACATTTGAGAGAGAAAATTGTTTGCACTTAGACATATGTAGCAGATATTTTATAACACTCAAACCCATAATTCTTTTCTTAATGTTTAAGGTCATACCCTCAAAATTTATTGTTAAAAAAAATTACATTCGTTTCGGTGTTAACCTGATAAAATGATCTGGTTTTTCCGTTGTGACACATCGTCCTTAGTTTTTCTAGATGCTTCAGGGAAGTCTCTATTGGGTGCTGTTAAGACGCGATGTTTTTAGCCCTTTCCCGGTTTCTAAGATCTTCGTCAATGAATTCTTGGGTTTTTCCATATATATATATATATATATATATATATATATATATATATATATATATATATATATATATATATATATATATACTAAAATTTTAAAATATACCAATGCAGAAATGTTAGGAAGCATACAAGTGTGGTATTTTAAAATGTCAGAACGTATAACAACAATTAGTTGGTCAAGAAAATGGACAAATGGATTAACTAAAGCATACTTTTTCACTAATTTTGTCTTTTTACAACAAAACAGATACTAAGCCGTATGACAGATTGATAACGTTGGATAAAAATAATCTTTTAATCGCGTCTATATTAGGATTAAAAAACATTATTTACGTAACAAAATGAAGTTTTGGTTGATATATTCCTTGTTCTGATGTTGGGTTGTGGAAATCAATCAGTAGTAAATTTTTGACCTTCGTTTTGTGCTAGTTGACAGTCGTTGGAATCATTTATCTGCACTATTGGAAGAAACTGCTGCTCCCTTGTTGGATTTAAACCATTGTGTCAGCGTCTTCAAGTCAGTCACCACGGCGCTATTCGGGGTATAACTAAAGTCCTGCACTATGTCAGGTTGTTTAGACTGGTGGTCATAGTGAAACCTTGACAGCACCAAAGACTAAACAAATATTAAATTGATTGCCACTGAGCAATCTATTAAAATGATTCTTATATATGCTGACAAAAGCGTGGTCGAAGCCCTGTTCATCTCCATTGTTTTGTAATTTCCATGATTGATTTTGTATGTTTTATTAAGACTACTCTCGTTTGACAATGTAGTTTCACAGATCTGATACAAAATCTTTTTTGGGAAATGTTATATTCCATGCATATATAACAGCAAAAAAAGCAAGACATAATAAGTGAATGAATACAGCTTGGACTTAGATATACTAGCCGAGTAACGTTACTTGTTTGATATAAGGTTGATATTTTTCTCACATTTTTAATTCGCACTTTTTTTTCTTTATTATGTATTACGGATTTTAAAAAAAACACACTCATTTTTTTATTCTTTTCCCTAGATTGTTCAAAATTGCGTATCTCATTCACATAAACCATACTATTCATAATAATGAAACGCTTTTACTGTGTACTGAATATTTGACTGTAATTTTTTTCTTCATATTTATCCAAGGTCACGTGAACAATCTGTATAATACTTGTTTTTGGAAACTTGTTCAAAATGCTGGCCTAAGTGGAACAGAGGCTGAAGAACGATTAAGAGTAAGGCTGTTTTTTTCCAATTTTCTATTGGTTATGTAGATTAGGTGAATTGATTACTTATCTTATATTTTACGTTCATGTAGTTTTACTTACTTCTCAAGTACAAGTTTATTATACTCAGCCTGAAGACACATACATGGTTTGTGTAATAAAGACTAATGATACTAGCCGTTTGTACAATTATGTATAGCAAGTGTTATGCATGTGATCTGATCATTACAAACTAAACGCTTTAACCAGTAACAGGCTAACACCTTAAAGTTTCATGTCTACAAAAACAATGTATTAATCTTAGTAGTAGCTGATGTGTGATTGATCGAATTGGAATTAGTTTACAGATCCGATTTCTATTAGTGTCCTGTGTGTTGTAATTGAAAGGTGTTCAGTAATAAGAGATAATAATTTCTTAAAATAACTAGAATACTATATTATTATTATTGTTATCATTCTTCTTCTTCTTCTTCTTCTTATTATTATTATTATTATTATTATTATTATTATTATTATTATTATTATTATTATTATTATTATTATTATTATTATTATTATTATTGTTACATGCATGACACAATAATTAAATGGGGTTACTGGATTCACATCCAAATGACATTTATTCAACCATTGAAAAGAAAGCAATAATAGAAAAAACAATTGTTCTTTGACTTATTATGTATTTTTTGTAAAAATGTTATCATGACATAACTTTGAATCATCCAATAACGATTTACAAAATGTATCTAAACTTGTTGAGAAGAAAGGATAAATTGAAATGGACATCATCAACTTGAAATGAATACAATTCTTGATACTCACTTGAGAAGATTATACTCAACTAATAATAATATTCATATGACGTAAAATTAATTGATTTTTAAGAAATATAAATTGACTATGGAATTCAGCTTTTCGGGTTTCAAGATGTGTGTAATTTGCCAGTACTTAATCATAGATATCTTAAAAGCTGAGGTATAATGTAGAAATTACCAAGTGAGGTTTTGTATAAGGTAATAGATAGCTGAGATATTGATTGCAAGTGAACTGTGATAGATACTTCACGATAAACCACTATAAGGAGTTGTTTTCTGTTGTGAAATTTTTCTTTCTATCTGCATGTTCGCATCAATGTATTCTTGTTGTGATTGATGAATGGTTCTCGATCAAGAGCTTTGATATGTGTGATTGTGTTACACGATTAAATAGATCTGAATTATGACATTAACAATAGTAGTTGGATTAATGAAGCTGTAAAATTACATCATCTTATATCACTGTAATATATATTTTGCACGCCTGACCTTTCTATACTCAGATATGCAATGGTAACTGACATTGAAGAAAGATTAAAGCAAACTAAGGTTAGCCAAATCAAAACATTAGAATAATCAATGGACTGATTACCAGTTGTGAACTGAGCTACGGTTTAGGGTGCAAAGTTTACGATTGGTGCAGTTCAATTATATTAAACAACGATTGAAGACTTTAGATGACGTATTACCGAAATGGTCGTAATGGCATAAAACATATTCTCTCTCTTTACCTTATACTTGATTTTTGATATTATTTACCACCTTTCTCTCACAAAGTTTTTTTTGTTCTCAAACTAGATTGTTCATGTTTGGCTTTTTTGTCATTATTATTTCGACTACTTTTATTTTCTTTCTGTTGATTTTCACTCTCTCACTGTGGCTTTGGTGTGAAGTTGTGAAACGATGCACAAATGTACATCGGTTCTACTTTATGATTGACATTTTTGAATATATATAAATATATTCGATGACTCATAGATGATAGAATATTACGAAATCCTGTCTACAAACTTACTGTTTTAAGTTGATTCACATGTTTCAGAGACAAATCTATAATAATGTTTTGATAAAATCTTTGATTGAATACCTGAAGTCTCAAGTTATTCATTTTTATAAACTTTATTAGTTAGCGACCGTTGTCATTCGTGTCCTAGCTTTCATGTCAAGACTATAATTTATGGATGACCTTTAAGCAACGCTAAAGTGGCCTTGCAAAACTCACTTTATAGGGTCTAAAGATATTAGGTTTGGTGTCTAGAATTAGAAGTCAAGGTTAAGAGTAAGAATTAGGGTTTTCATCTTAAACTGACTGTAGCTATAAGGTCAATATACTATTTAGCCATATAGATAATTGAATCACACCCCAAAATCCAAGACTCGCTATTTTTAATCTGATTGGTTCATCCGCAAACTTTAGTCTCACCGCTTTCATTTCAAAACCGTTTATTGTTAGTAGTCACTTAAACAAATTAAACATACTATCTATTAACTTCATCCCACTAAGTTTTGGTCATTGACACTTTCATATAGAGACTTGAAAACAAAGTGAAAATGTAAGAGAATCAAATGTTTTAATGGGTAAATACAAAGTACTAAGTTAAATCTTTAAGAAAATGTCATATTTTCACTCAAAGGACTCTAAAGAAGTTGTTTGAATTACTATTGAAGACAGTAAATTTTGAAACTCAATTATTCCCAAATTATTAGGGATTCACATTGTTAAAATGGAAATAACATGTATTAGCGAATAATATCGTTTTCAATTAGATCATCACCAGAATTAACACTAATATACTTTAATATACATGAATATTTATGTGAAGATATAAAACAAATCAATACAATTCATTCGGAGTTAGTGATCACAGTGAAGTAAGTAGATTGCATAACTACATCTAAGTAAAATGTGCAAATTGGTTGTAGTAATAATAATAACATCACATCAATTCCATACAATAGTTCAACATAGAAAGTAGGTCAAACTTAGATAAACAAACTTTAGAATAATAACCACAAAACACTCAAAGTAACGTAATAAGTATGTAAATAATTAGGTATTGAAGAATATCAACGGAAGGAAGTGAAAAATAACAAAAATGTGAAAAATGATAACATTTTTTGATAAGTCATATCTGTCCAACGGAAAGGACAGATCTAATACAAATTCATTCTGAACACATAAACTAGTCATAGGTTCAAATCCCTATAGCCTCTGGTGAACGTAGGTGACGGAACTGTACACCTTTAGGATACAATGAAGGTATGCGATAGATAACTGGAAATAATTTGCTTTTATCTATTACATAATCTTTGTTAACGAGGTATACTGAAATGGAACTACGTATTGTTTTCATCTGACTCTTTCCAAACCACAGATAGATAATCAAAGTTGAATGATGGTTAGCAGCGGAATCCAGAACGCACGTTTCGTCCTGTTTGGGACTCGTCAGCTGGATGTACCTACCTCCCCAGAGTTGGTGTTCACTCTGGGATTCACACTCAGTATCGTTTTCTTCAAACGTCATCGCGTTATACACTCTCTTATTGGAATATGTGCATACTGATCAATTGTAGTCCTTAACATCAATGAGAAGCTTCAAACAAATAATACTAATTGAATCTAAACTTCACCCCAAAGCATAAGCAAGTAGCTATCAGGACTCAATACCTAAGTGGATAACGCGATGGCTTTTGAAGCAAACGATACTGAGTGTGAATCCCAGAGTGAACACCAACTCTGGGGAGGTAGGTACATCCAGCTGACGAGTCCCAAACAGGACGAAACGTGCGTTCTGGATTCCACTATTAGCCATCATCAAAAATTATATTTTCTGTAATACAGTTGAATTTCCAGCTAGAGTTTTTTGCAAAATTATAGTTCACTCAAATGCAACTACGTATTAATGTTTCATTTACTTTTGAAGTATAAAATTTTTAAGAGTTTTCTTTAATGATCATCAAGAAATGAAATAATATTACTCAAAACTGAACAGTAATAGGTGCTGGAACAAATGAATGAATTATGAATAACTCATGTTTTTACAAAGTTCATTGATTAACAAGAATTTAGAACTGATTACAATGAGATTAGGCTTAGACAGAATGTTCGGAGTGTATAATACGATTTGATATTCATTACCTACTTGGTTATTAACAGTTTATAAACTATGTATACTTCGTCATTGTTAGATATGGATAGTATATAGTAGTGACTCATATCACGCTAAAAATTTTCAGGATTTAAAACCCATAAGGGGGTATTTTATTTTTAAGTATATGGTCAGGTAAAAAAGAGTTTGTTAATTAGATATGTCATTTTTATTCTTACCAATTATTTTGTAATGATCCACGTGATGACCTATTAGATTTTATCCATTCACATTTTTCGTACATGTGTGAATGTTGGTTTAGATCTGTTTAACTATTTCTTGTGCTTTATATATGGCTACATAAATTGAGTCATTAATTCACATATTGATTAAATCGCCAAGTCAATTCACATTCCATACTGTATAATTCATTCATTCATACTTCTTACTTGGTTTGCTATCGTCTGAGTGCCTGAAACTATACAATACTTCATCATAACTCGTATTTCTATTTCTCTATTCTAACGTGAATGATCGTCGTTGTCAAGGTGTTTTAGTCAAGTAATAGTATAAGAATGGGGATTTTTGGAGATTGTAATAATGTTAATAGTTGAATTCATGAGTCGATCTAAGCTAGATCACCATGAGAAACGGTCATCTAGTGCCTCCAGGTTTTCGATGATGGTCTAGCTTAGATCGATACATGAATTCAACAATGGCATGTAATTTTCGGAATAATTAACCAGCATTTCAAACACTAAAAAGCTATAAACAATATGGTATATCCACTGAATCACAATTCTTCTTCTGTAATGGTTCTTGTCAAGTGTTGTATGACATGTGAAATTTTCATCAATTCTTAGTCAATTATACTGTTATAGATCACCAGTGAATTTTAGAAGGCATTGACTATGAAACAACGTAACAATATTATTGAACACTATGATTGTTAAAATTGAGCTATAAGTACATTCTACACAACTTTCTGTCAGTTAATAAATAAACTTCAGTAATAATCAATCATAGTTATTCCGAAATGTGATATATAACGGATCAATGTGTTTATTAATACTACATGCATTATATGTAAACAATTTATAACATACCCTGGAATTTTCTTCTTTTACAAAATAATTTATGAGAAAGTTGTTTCTATAATGTTTACAATTATTTTTAGCGGTTATCGTCAGACGGTTAGTTTATTGATTAATGCGTTACCATCTAAAGTGTGATTTAACTATTAACTATTGACCAAGGTAATCAATAAGAATAAACAATATATTGGGTTGGAAGCGGTTACATTATTGAGTAAAATAAACTTACAGCTCGTATTGTATTTAATGCTAAACAGATTGATTTCGACATGAACTTTTGTGATTGATGTTGACCTCGATTAGATGGATGGTCCATTATCTCATCGAAGCTTATGTATGACTTACCATTAGAATTGTGAGATACGGTGTAACTTGTTAAATCTTGTCTAGTTCATTTGTTATCTATCAGTTAGAAACTGACTAAATTATTTGCCAGTTTCATAATCTACATACAGAATAGATGTTATCTTTCATGTTAGAGTAAATATTTCACTTAATTATCGTTCTATGATTAGATTGTTTAATTAAGCAAGGTGTTTAGGCTACATTCATTGTAGGTTGTGACCGAAGTGCAGATCATAACACCTATCTCACCATGTTTATACACTCAAGAGTAACGGTAGAGTGTGTTTGACGATTTTTAATTCCCATAAAATAATCACATCAAGTTTTATCAGCGAAATTTTTTTACAAAACAATCAACTCAAACTATGACTTCTATTGGTTATGTTTATGCAAATGAGTTGACGGTAAGACAGGATGTTGTATTTTACAAAATACCTAAAAAGCATGACTTCTGAAGTCAGATAACACGAAAGGCTTATATATAGATTTGATTATTGATGTTCATTTCCTACAGGAAGTAACTAGATTGAAATTGTGCATTTCAATTAAGTGATATCTAATATGCTAAATCATTATTTCGTTTGTTCTTGAACTAATCTATCCTGACCTATCAACATTTTTCTACATTATTTTCATGTTTATTAAAAAATGTAGTTTTACTAAATAAATAAGTTTTCCTAACTGGTATAGACTGTTTGTAGTTTTATGATATTCTCGTTATTCAATGAAACAAATATAAGTTACTAGTCAATTTATCGTTATTTTTATTTTCATCATGACAATCAGTAAATTTCATTACTGAAAATCATCATGTTAGTTTTGTGATGAGTCACTTGAGGCAACTGTTTTTTATCCGATAGAGCTAGTGAATGTTTTTGGTAAAATGGAAGATTGAAGTATACTATACTCATACTAAACGATGTTCTATCCTAATAATCTGTCGTTGGCTTTTCATAAAATTAATGTAAATAATTCGTTGGATGGCATTATTTCATGAAATGATTGAATATAATTACAATCCATATGAAAACGGGCAAAATCGTTAGTTTTTTTTATTCAGTATAAACTGGAAATTCAACAATCTCCACAACCTTATATTAATAATTATTAGTGTTGCTTTTATTATCATGTATTCTGAAACTTAACCGAACGTTTAACACCGGATATATTTTTCTAACTGATTTACTATGTATCTATTTATGTATTTGAGTTTGAACCACATTCTTAGTGATATTACCCGGCTGTCACAATTGAAATAGATGAGAGAGACGATACTTAAACTTGTAAACTAATATTTGAAATTAAAAAATCTTCACTTCATAATCAAAGCAACAGAAATCTATCATCAGAAAAGGGGTTTGTGGAGATCGCAGTAATGTTAATAGTTGGATTCATGAGTCGATAAAAGCTAGACCACCATTGAAAACCTGGAAGAACTGGACGGCTATTTCATCCTACTACGAGACTCCTTAGCAGTACACATCCACGATCCCGCACATGGGACTCGAACCCGAGACCTTCAGTCTACAATCTCCACAAACCATTCTAATAATAATCATTATGTGCCAACTAGTGACTGGCTTAAAAATGGATTTCCTGAAGTTCTAGTGGTAAGTCGTGACCAGTGAGGTTCAACCGTGTCTGTTGTGAGACAGTTATTTACTGAAGACAATGATGGATAGTCACGCAATGTCGTGGATTGGTTGAAGTTAAACATTAAGACCGTTGGATGCTAGCTAGCTCAGTTGTCTAGAGGTTAAGTGTTCTCATGCGAGACGGAAAGTCCTGGGTTAGAGTGTTTTTGGTGTAGGGTCATGAATACCCACTTCTGAGGAGTCCCATATTAGGGCGAAACGGCTATCCAATACTTCCAGGCTTTCAACATTTGCCTAAATTAAGTCAATTGAAGAAATCTATCAATTTAACAATTATAAAATTGCTTAAAGTTATTTAGTTTTAAATGTTATCATTTCTATTCAAATTTAATTTACACTTCTTAATTTGTTTTCATAGATTATAAAAAACAAATTTTAAAAAAATCAATGACGTTTAAATACAAATCACTTAATTTTTTTCTTTATGCAAATTTAGTCAAGTTTTTTTATTGATTTTTTGAAGGGGGAGGGGGTGTATAATCATGTTAATATTAACTCATTCACTTACTGATATAAAAATCGCAGATAAACTTAATCATATATCATTTCATCTATTGAAATAATCTTAATCCAACATATCATTTATTCATTCATTAATCAATAGAACATCTATTCAAAACTTGTGTTAGTAGAACTTAAATAAACAAGAAAAAATGCGCATAAATTTGAAATTGTGAATTATGTTTAATTAATGAGTATTTTGCATAAATTTAAAATAAAAAACAAAAAAAATGACGTTTTAATTGTTTAAAGATCCATATCGTATACAAAGACCAATATTTGAATGAAGAATATTTTTATAAGCAAAGATGGATAGTGGCTAGCAGTAGAATCCAGGACGCGCGTTTCTTGCTACCTGAGACTTGTCAGCTGGATGTACCTGCATCTCAGAGTTGATATTCACTCTAAAACTTGAACCCGATGGAAAGATTCAAGTAAAACAATACAAAGTGAATTAAACTTCACCCCATTGCACAAAGAAGTGGCTATCAGGACTCAGTAGCTAAGTGGATAACGCAATGGCGTTTGAAGCGAACGGTACTGGGTGTGAGTCCCCGAGTGAACATCAACTCTAAGATGCAGATACATCCAGCTGACGAGCTCCAGGTAGGAAGAAACGCGCGTCATGGATTCCACTGCTAGCCACTATCCATCTTTGCTTATAATGCTTGTAAATCAAGGCAATATCGAGGCATACGCACAGTATACACATATGCCAATAAGAGGCCTTAAGATTGATCATGGATGGAGAAGAGGTTGAAGATATTCCTTTTGTACGCATAGCTTCAGCCGTTTGAAAGACTTTAAATCTGACAAGCTTTGACAAAAAGTTACTGACCCGATAAGTAATTGAAAAGGATTAGTTTACACTGGCACTATGACCAGCTGTTCACTTTCTTCACCAAACCTTTGATTAGCCACTCTGGGAGGTGTTCGTGATCACAAAAATGTAAATTTATAGAACATTTGTTATCAGTGTAATATGTCAATTACTTGATATTTATATGTGATTTTTATTATCCAGCAAATCAGTTGATTTTTCTAAATTACTGGAATAATTGAAATGACGCAACAAATGTATATAAAGATCTCTGAATTTCTAATAAACAATTTTTTAAATAATGAAGAATATTTATTGTTCAAGATGAAGATTTTAGATAGTAAAATAACAAGATTGTTTTAAATTGCAGATAGATTATAGACTGATTTCAGCTGACTTGCTTGAAACCAAGATTTGTTTGACAGATGGGACTCCTCGAAATTGTGCATTTCAAACCTTACACAGGGTATAGCCTATGACATTCTCATCTTAAAATATTAGGAATCAAAGCAATATATTCAACCAAAATCAAATTAAGAATTTATTGGTCAGGGATGAAAGTACAAATCATGAAGAAACTAGTAACACTTCACTTTTGTCTGTTGTAATTTGTTTTAATCATGGCTTGTTATTCGAGTGGCCTATAAGATCTATAAAATAGGTGTTTTGTTAGATCCTGTCTGTTTGATACTCCTGATGGATTTCGAAACAAGTAATATGCCATCATGTCAAAAAATCATAAAGTCCCATGGCTATATATATACTATTGATTTATCTCTGTTACAGGGGACTTTATCAAGTGACAAAAATGAGTTATTGTTTTCACAATTCAACTGTAATTACAACAATGAACCAGAACTATTTCGCAAAGGCACTGTATTATTTAGAAACAATGTAAGTTGAAATACAAATAGTTTTTATTTTTTTTAATAAATAATTAACTTCCTCTTATCCCCTTATCTGTATGATATTAATGAGAAAACTGTTAGGATTCATTGTTTTGACCATTAACTCGATATCAGAGTGATTTCTTAGATGGTTATACAATCTGTGGTAGATTTATTTCTTGACGGGATTATTTGTGCTTACTAATTAATAATATTTTCTACAATTCAATGTGATAATAATCACCGCGTAGCATATATATAGATCAGTCAGCTACAACATAGGATTAGGCACATATATGCATCGGTCAAAGTTGCCATACCGCATTAGCACAACAAGATGAACACCCGATTCATAGAAGTAGTTAATTTAGTGGTGGTGATATATAAAAGAAAGATTGCATATAATTACAGTACAGGAAAAAAGAAAGGTATGAAGCGATTTTAATCTCTTAGTTTAAAGAAAGACAAAGAGTGTATACACCTACGCCATTGTGATCGATTCTGAGCCATGTCACCAAGAGTCTCCAACCATTGGCTACGATAGTCACGCGGACCCCAACCAAGTAGTCTGCATATACCAACATGGCTCAGACCAGAAGTTAGTGACTTTGTGGACTGATGCCATGTTTTGGTTTGGCCGCCCCTAACTTTCTTCCAACCATCCCCAACACTAGTCAGTATTACGCGTCGTGGTAATCGGTGTTCAGGCATACGTAACATGTGACCCAACCATTTCAGTCGATGAAGATTCATGACCTCATCGACTGATTTACCATCATTCCCTAATACCCTGCGTCTAACCTCACTATTACTTACCCGATGATCCCAGAAGATGCGAACAATATTTCTGAGACATCTGTGATCAAATATTAGTAGCTTACGAGTATCTTCTACTCTTAAAGGCCATGTTTCTCAGCCGTATAGTAGAACGAAACGAACTGTCGCGCAGTATACTCGTCCCTTAATTGATAGACGGATATCTCGCCTTCGCCATGGGTGACGTAAGTTGGCGAAAGCCAGACGAGCTTTTCGAATCCATGCTGAAATTTCGTCAGACACCAACCCATTAGGGCTGATCAGACTTCCAAGATAAGTGAAGTTGTCAACGCGTTCAACTACTTTACTCCCTATCCTTAGTTCAGGTGTTGACGCAGACCAGTCCTGAAGCGATAACTTGCATTTAGAAGGGGAGAAGTGCATCTCAAATATTCTGGCATTGTTACTCAGTGCTACCGAAAGACTCTGCATTTTATCAGTGTCTTCACCAAGCAGGACTATATCATCTGCTTATTCTAAGTCGATAAGTGTGCCTCCTGGTAGGAGACCAATCCCCGAAAATTCAGTCGATGAGAGCGTTATTTCCAGTAGTAAGTCTATGATGAAGTTGAACAAAAATGGAGAAAGTGGACAGCCTTGACGGACCCCACTTGAGGTTGCAAAAGCAGATGACAGTTCGCCATAAGCTCTGACTCGACTAGTAATGTTCAAGTAAAGATCCTTCGCAATGTTTATGTACATCTGAGGTACGCCTTTCAATGACAGACACTGCCACAGAACCTCTCGGTCTACAGAGTCAAATGCTGCTTTTAAGTCAAGGAAGACCACCATTGTCGGACGCCGATAAGTATGCCTGTGTTCTAGAACCTGACGAATGGTGAATATGTATTCTATGCATCCACGACCAGGTCTGAAGCCAGCTTGATTCTCTCGTGTTTGCAGTTCACGAGTCTTAGTTAGGCGTCCGATAATTATTGAGGCTAGTATTTTAGTTAATCTAATCCCTTTTCGGTTATCAAAGGATTATTTTGACCCCCCCTTATACATTGGGACAATCAGTGGTTGTGACCAGTCAGATGAGGTTACGCCCAACTCTCAGATTTATGCTAAAATATTAGTCAACCTAACCGCTAAAATTGGACCACCATCCTTAAAGACCTCTGGAGCCAATCCATCTGGATCATCTGCCCTTCCTCGTTTTCGATTAACTATAGCCCTTTGAACTTCAGCTAGAGTTAGAGGACCTACTTCAATGTCCCATTCACACTGTCTGGGAATGGAGGGTAGTTGTAAAGTAGCTGAAGGCCAGCTGAACTGTTCTCTAAAATGTTCCTCCCACCGTTTTAAACGTCTGGGCTGGGAGCAGGTGAGAGTTTCGTCTTTTTCTGAGATGCCCCCGAATGCCCTGGTATGGCCGAGAGCGGAGAGGGTTCGCCCTGCCTCTCGAAATACTCTCACACGGCCACGCGTATACAGCCTCTGCCAGGGACGTCCTACTCACTGCCTTCACGTGGCGTATTGTTTACGAAAATGAGAGGACGAAAAGCGAATGTCCGGCGCTATAACCGGATCCCAATTCAATGGTGCACATGGGCTCCAGTATCCTGAAGGAACAAATGGCGTATGAACCAATCGTTGGTCACTGGCTACCATGGTACTGCATCTCCTTATGATGCTCCACTGCCTTGTGGGTTAGACCTTTAGGTCAAAGGCTCGGGGTGTGGCTCCCTAAGAAAACCACCTGCTTCGGTTCGGGCACCCGAGCAGTATCTCAGCCCACGCACTAAAATCATGATGAACTATCTGCTTATGGAAAATATTCCTTTCTTTCTGATTAACATTGAAATGACTCGTACTACTATTATTATTATTATTTTACCACGTAATTTATTCACCCTCTCTTATACCTACTTTATGTATCCGTTTCAACCTAGACAGCAGCTCGCCTATGGTGAAAATTCAGCTTTATCTAAACGTTCTCGAGTCACTACCTGGTTGAAAATTGTATGTTACCACCGAATATGAGTACTGAAGCAGCTTTTCTGAAACCACGTGCACCATTCAAACTGGCTGCCTTCAACGTTCGCACACTTATGCAGGTCGGACAACAGATAGGGCTGGCTATGTCTTTGGAAAGTCTTAATATTGGCGTATGAACCAATTTCTTGGTCACCGGCTTCCATGGAACTGCATCTCCTCACGATGCTCCACTGCCTTGTGGACTAGACCTTTAGGTCGAAGACTCGGGGTGTGACCCCTTAAGAAAACCATCTGCTTCGGTCTGGGCACCCGGGCAGTATCACAGCCCACACAAATATAATGAAAATGATGATGTTCTTTGAAAACTCTATTCACGCCGCGATTTGCCGTCAGACAATTCACATTATAATTATTATAATTTATCACGTCATTTATTCACTCTCTTTCTTCCCCACTTCGTCTATCCTTATTTTTCGACTTATACAGCAGCTCGCCTATGGTGAAAATTCAGCTTTATCTAAACGTTCTCGAGTCACTGCCTGGTTGAAAATTGTATGTTACCACCGAATATGAGTACTGAAGCAGCTTTTCTGAAACCACGTGCACCATTTAAACTGGCTGCCTTCAACGTTCGCACACTTATGCAGGTCGGACAACAGATAGGGCTGGCTATGTCTTTGGAAAGTCTTAATATTGACGTGTGTTGTCTATCCGAGACCCGTATTCAAGACTCTGGTGAAGTACTACAAATTCGCTCTCCATCTGTCACTTCAAAAAGCTTGTTTTATGTGCGTTTATCCGGGGACCCTGTGGCATCTTCGTCTGGTCTTGCTGGCGTTGGTGTCACACTAAGCGCTAGAACTGAGGCAGCACTAATCGATTGGATCCCAATTAACAGTCGGTTATGTGCTGTTAGATTAGAAAGTACCATCAAAGTGAGAAGAAATCGGCGTGAGAAACGATGTCTTTTGGTCGTCTCCGCCTATACCCCGACAGATTGCAGCCCGGATGCAATCAATGATGAATTCTACCACCAGTTAGCTGTTCTTCTCCAAAAGTGCGTTCGACAGATATTGTAGTACTAGCTGGAGACTTGAATGCTCAGGCCGGGCGTCTAGGCACAGAAGAGAGTAGTTTAGGTGGCCGATGGGGACTTGTTGGTCGCAGGACAGATAACGGGGAACGTCTACTGCAAATATGCACAGACCACAACCTGTTTCTGGCTAGCACTAATTTTCGGCACAGTCATCGCCGATGTGCCACCTGGCGTCCACCTTCTGCATCTCAAGCCTGGACTCAGATTGATCACATCGCGATCAGCTACCGCTGGCGTGGTTGTGTACAAGACTGCCGCTCCTTTTGGAGTACATATCTGGAATCTGATCATGCCCTGGTCTGTGTCAATCTCACCTTACTTTTCAGTGGACAACGAAGTGACCGCCACCAAAGGACTGATGTTAGCAAGCTGGTTGCAACTTCTGTTGCTAGTAAGTATCGAATCGAGCTAGCTTCTAGGCTAGCTACCATTCCACCGAAAAGTATAGATGAGCATTGGTTGCAATTGCATGACGCCATGAAAATGGCGGGTACAGTCTGTTGTGGGTTCGCGAAACGTCCCGCTTACAAGCACTGGGTTTCTTCTGGTTCCTTACAACTGATTGAAGCCCGTCAGTCTACTCCGGGTGACCGTGAGTTTCACCACAGACAAAGGACGTTACGCAGTGAAATTGGACAAAGCTTGCGTAAGGACCGAGAAGCCTGGTGGTCGGAGCGTGCTAATGAGCTAGAAGCAGCAGCTGCATCTGGTAATTACCGGAAGCTCTTCCAACTCATCCGAGCCACTGGCAGCAAGAAGTCTGGTGTGAGCGAAAAAATCTGCGAGGATGACGGAACGGCAATCACTAACATCCATCGACGCCTTGGACGATGGGCAGAATTTTTCGAAGGGCAGTTCAGTTCAACTGGCCTGCTGCTCCGGCAACATCGGCCAGACTGTCTTGCCCTCCATGGCCGGTGACGACTGATCCATCAAATGAGGCGGAAGTCCGCAAGGAACTCCAACTCTTGAAACGCTACAAATCACCGGGCCTAGACGACTTACCTCCGGCTCTTTTTAAAGATGGTGGTGACTTTCTGACTAAGGAACTGACGACGTTGTTTACAAAGGTGTGGGAACTAGAGAGTGTACCAATGTCATGAAATGAGTCGATAGTTGTCTCTATCTTTAAAAAGGGTTCACGCCGTTCCTGTAAAAACTATCGGGGGATAAGTCTACTTCCGATTGCGTCCAAGCTATTGTCTTCCGTCATACTTCGTAGGTTGTTCAGAACTCGAGAAAGATTGACTCGCGAGGAGCAGGCTGGTTTTCGTTCTGGTCGAGGATGTATTGATCATATCTTCACTCTCTACCAAATGTTAGAACACCGTCATACTTATCAAAGGCCATCAATCGTAATATTTCTTGATATCAGGGCTGCCTTCGATTCGTTGGATAGGACTGTTCTCTGGGATTGTCTATTGAAGAAGGGTATGTCTGAGAAGTTTATTAACATCCTAAAAGCCCTATACACAGAGTGAGGGCATACAACCACCTCTCTTCACTATTCCATTCAAGCAGTGGGTTTAGACAGGGTTACCCAATCTCACCAATCCTCTTCAACTTTCCCATCGATGACATTATGGAAACAGCTCTGATGGATGTAAGTAATGGTGGTGTGGATCTGTTGCCTGGAGAAAGACTTCTCGACGTTGAGTATGCGGATGATATTGTCTTACTGTGCGATAATGCCCAAGCTATGCAATCCGCACTTAATCAGTTGGCAATCAGTGTCCGTAGGTATGGTATGTGCTTTTCACCCTCGAAGTGCAAAGTACTTCCACAAGACTAGCAGGATTCTAATCCTGTACTCACTCTGGATGGTGAGCAGATAGAAGTGGTCGAGAAGTTCGTGTATATGCGTAGCTGCATAAGTGCTGTTTGTGGTGGCGTGAGTGATGAGATCAATGCACGTATAGTGAAAGCCAGAGCGGCTTATGCCAATCTGGGCCATCTTTGGCGCCTTCGTGATGTTAGTCTGGCTATAAAAAGTCGGATCTACGACGCGTCGGTGAGAGCAGTTCTGCTCTATGATTGTTAAACCTGGCCTCTCCGAGCTGAGAACGTTAGACGACTCTCTGTGTTCGATCATCGTTGTCTCCGAAGGATTGCTGACATCCAGTGGCAACACCATGTTAGTAATGCAGATGTCCGGCATCGTGTTTTCGGTCACAGAGACGACAATCCAATTGGTGTCACCATCTTGAAACACCGACTTCGGTGGCTTGGACATGTTCTACGAATGTCGTCCCAGAGAATTCCACGTCGTGTATTATTTGCCGACTCTGGGACTGGTTGAAAAAGGCAGAGAGGTGGTCAGTGTATGACATGGTGTCGTGATATGAAAGGAAGCTGGAAAGGGCTGGCTTCTGTTGGTTCTTCACGACTCCCTGGCTGGGGTCCGAGAGATGGTGTAACACGGTGGCTAGAGACGTTATCAAATATGGCTCAGAATAGAAGTCAGTGGCGATCCTGCTGTAACCTTCTTTTACTTTCTTCATAAAAAATGGTTGTATCTTCCTTAACTGAATGATTTCTTCTGATTGCACTGTTCCGTTTTCCCCATCATTGTTCTCTCCCTCTTTTTTTTATAATTCCCCTTGTTCATTACTTATATATATATATATATATATATATATATATATATATATATATATATATATATATATATATATATATATATATATATATATCCTTTCTTCAAATTCTCATTGTTTTGTGTGGCGCATATATATTTGGTGCCCTCTTGTACCAATATTTATGTGTTCAAATAAAATAATAAAATAAAATACTTTTTCCGAGATAGTCTCACTTACACCTGCACTTTCGGATAAGTAGAATATTCCACTGGCATTAAGATAAATACTACTGTTTATGTACGAACACACAATACTTAGTGTACAAACGTATCCGAAGCATTCGGTTGTATGATCTTTGTGTCTCCATCCTGACATACTGTGACTCGTTGTAACTATCCTACATTCAGAGATACTGTATCACGAAATGATGGATGTATTTATCTTGAGGTAGCCTGGTAAAATTCTCAGTCTGGTATGGCACACGTGTTATGAATTAAGAATAATTTGTTGGTAAGTATTATTGGATTTCGGGTACTTCTACCGAATTCATCAATGTTCTGAAACCTGTTTCTGAGGACTGTGAAAATGTCAATAAGCAAAAGCGGTATAATTGATTACTGACAAAAATCTGGTCTTCCGAGGCTTACAACAAAAGGCGCCAATGAAGTCAGTGGCATAAGCCAATATTGCAGAGGCGATTTAGGCTCATCAAAGAGGCTGAGGTTAGAGAACCAACAATGACACCTATTTTCCATCTTAGAAAAGTCGTCGTATTTGTAAATAACTCTAGGTGAGTAAGAGGTAAATTCTAACCAGTCAAATCCAGACATTTTCAGAGATGGAAGTCCATGTTTATCAATGGAATTGGCTGAGGTATTAGTTATGATTTATTAGCTGAGGCTTGTCCCATATAACTAGTGTCGACCACAGATAGTCTTAACTTAAAAAATTAAAACCACTATTTTATTCACTAACGAATCATCCTAATTGATGTGATTTCTATGATGTTGACCTTTGTAATTACTCAATGTTTAACTGATGTTCATGATCATTTCATTTGAAAAAATAACCAGGTTGATTGTGAATGAATCGGACAAATATTCACCTTTGTTCAAGTCCTTAGTACTGAAATGCTTAGTGATATCCAACTTAAGCTGAATTTTTCAAATTGATATTTTTTGCAAATGATTCCATCTATCAAATTTCATTATCTTAGTCTTTGTAATCGATTAATCTAAAAGTAGTGACCAATGATATTTATGCTAAGTCTTTCCTGGTGCCTATCAAATTCTATGTCAGGTTGTGATTTCGGTATTACTCCATGTGACTCTGTCTGTAGAATTCGGTTGATGGTAAGACTTGACATACATAACATTGATTACTACTCAATGGTCAATCAGTTGTAAGTGCATATCAGTCCTACTGTGGGTCAGTTGCGACCCGAATATCTCAGTGACGTCTCTGACAGTGAAAATGGATAACACGAAATCGAACCCACCAGGGAACATCAGTTCCATCAAGATTACAGGCACACCTTGCTGGCAAGTGACATGTAGTACAAAATCTAGATTCAGGATTTCTTGTCGACTATCTCCATACGGCCACCTTATTGTCAATGTCTGTAATTCAATAGCGTATAAAAGAAAGACGTCAATTTAGTTGAAAACTCTTTACTTGAATACTGTTAACCAGACTAAGCTGCTGATAAACTGTCATCTGAATTGTCTACGTCAATAAGTACTTGTCATGGTCTTTTCACTTACCTTCCTTTTGTATCATAGTTCATTCTTTTTATCTAAAATGTGTGACAAAGTTGATTGTTATTACAATATTTTTTCTTCAATATTTTGTAAACAGTCTGTCATTGAACAAGCAAATATCGATATAATTAAAGATCAGTTTTGGGATGAACATCCTTACATATTATTGGAGCCTGAATAAGTCAGAATTGTCGGATCCATTTGTTCTCCAGCCTATCAGTACGCAAATTTATGCATCTATTTTTATATGTACAAATATGTTTATACATTTTGTCTCGAATTTTGTGCATTGTTGTACATATTACACTGTATTTACGGAACAAAAATTGCTAATTTATAATTTATTGATAAACTATGACTTTTGTTTTGATTGAAGAAAAGGTTTTCTGAAGTATCATTGATAAATTATGTTTTTGACTCGTTTAATAACGGTTTTCATACAATAATACTATTTTAAGAACCAGAAGGAATTTAACTCAATAATATTGGCTTCCATTGTAAAAAATATGAAGCTTCACTATATTTCATCGATAGATATCCGCCGTTACTTCCAAAGTCGTTTACAAATAAGTAGTACTTTGTATTTGGAGCTATGAACAATCTATCTCTCATTATTGGGTGACACACTTTGATTCACAGTTAAATGATGAGCTTACTGGGAAGCTTCTTTTTCAACTTCAGTTTATGAATGAGTACCATTCACTCTCATGGTCTATAAAATATTAGAGTCAATAGGTTTGAATTAATAGTATTTGTAAGCTGTTGGGTTCGGTGATTTAAGCCAAGATTACTGATTATAGGACAGGTTATGAGAATCACTGATTAATATTTTAGTGCATTTGACCAGCCAACTGTGATACTAAATGTGCATAAAATACAGAATGGGATTGCGTCATTCATCCAGTTTATTCGATTTTGTAACGGCACAATTCGCTATGCACCCTGTACATAATTATTTTAAACTTGCTCTGAGATATTCGTGGGAAATACCAAATATACGAAGTGAATCCGCTTTATTGACTACTTAAGCATCAATGCTCGGTAAATTCTTTGCGATATTTGTAAGTCAACTTCTTTGTTTCTATCAGTGATAAACTAAGAGAAAGTATCAATAGTTTACTTTTTAAAACCATGATATTCTAAACAATTATTGAAATCTCTCAATTTATGCGCTAATCTAAATACAATTCACCCTAATACGATATAGTGCAGTGTTCCAAGCAGATTGTTAGTTAAAGCATTTTCTGGTGAGGCCTTAGTTAGTTATTCTGAAATGGATTCCGTGTTTTCAATGCCCACGGCTCCACATATCTTTACATGTATCTCTGTGTCGTAAGAAGAGCAAGTAAAGGATGCTTGAAGTTCTTACTTACCTTAGATAGGTATAGTCTACATGCGTACTAGGTAACACAAAAAATTCATCCGAGTATTTATTTTGGTAATATATACAGGTATACCTTCCCTGTGAGTGAATATGGGTCCCATGCAAACCTGTAACACACTGGTTTTACCCAATGCATCCCATAACATACATATAGGTATATTGACCCACTTTGGAGGATAGATGTTGATCACTTCCTTAGAAAGGTATTTGCTGCACCAGACCGTCTCTTACACATTACATCCATACCATTCAGCCCATGTCTACTGTGCCAGTACTTCCTGATACGCACATAAGCACTCTCTCAGGGTAGGTTGTTGGTTGCCTCCCTCTATCGTATTTGCTAACATGTGTTTATTGTTATGTCTTCGAACTGATAGATTAGGCCGCTGATTTTATTAGACAGGGCGATTGACCCTACTTATAAATGGGATAAGTAGCATAAAATAAGCGACGAATAATAGTTTGAATGTAATGTAGTTTCCGAAATATGTCGATAACAATGTTCTTGATATTTTTTCCACATTAAAACTATTATAATGAGGAATTTTAACGAGAACTTCACAGCAGTACTTTTTATGATCGTCTTATTCTAACCAATTTTCAAATAAATATTGTTCTCATATTAATAGTCTTTTCAATTCCTACTTGATTTTCTGCTGGCGATTAAAACATATATATTATTTTGACCTTGAACATTATCTTATACTTAAAATTCCGGTAAAACGTACTTCGTATTTTGAATACTCCAATCATCATCTATGAAAGAGTGTACTTGATTGTCCCTAAATTTTAATGTCTCAAAATTAAACGGTTGAATGAGTGTTCTATTGAAAATTCATCTCGCGACAAGTGGTGTTGAAGATTTACATTTGTAAATAAATGAAGAGGTTTATCAATAGACGATATATATTTTATGATGAACTACAGGGTAGTATGAACATACATTTTTCACGAACGAAAATGAATTCGCTTGCCATTTTATTACGTTTAAGCTACCTCTCTATAATACAGTAAAAACCATAGTTTTGATATATCATACAAGATTTAGTCCTGTTACGCGATTATCAACTTGTGAATTGCAACATAACCTATTGGGATGAATAAAGTTAATTTCTACAGTTTTACGCATCTAATATGAAATGTGGCAATTCGCCTAATATAACTCAAACATAGTTGGTGAAGATATTACCTATTACTTGATTGGAAATTTAGATGTTGATAGAAAACAACTGCTTTCCATAGCGTGTTGTATTATCTGATCATATCTCTCATGAGTAGCTATTAATTCAAGCCAAATCTCCCCACCTAATTTCTTAATAGTTAAACAATAAACTATTGTGATTTTAACATTCAACATGAAATTTTCTATTTTTCTTGTCTTGTTTGTAAACTGGTGGTTGTTGTTGAATGTAAATCTGTCTTTATCTACACATATATTTGGTTTGAACTGACATACATTTCTGAATGATAAATTACCCGAAACAACAATAGGCCGAAAATCTCGTCCTTTTCTTGAAATTCGTTATCAGAAGTTCTTTGTTTGTCTTAAAGTCTCTTAATATCCTGTATTCTTGAATGACAACCGATTCAGAATCCATTGGATGTCACTTTTCTTCAGTCAGTAACTAATGCTTTTGATGTTACCTGGAAACTATACATGTATCAATGACTGGAAGTTAGCACATTAGTAATTCTCAATCTTCAACTCAACAAACTTGTCATAAGTCGATTCACCACCGATTTCTTGGTTTTTGTAATGAAGAAAGCTCAGTGGTCTACAGACTAAGCGCACACTCAACAACCTCAGGGTCATGTGTTTGACCACTGATATGTTTAAGGGTACAAATAGCCAAGTAACTTGAAATCAAAACAAAAAGTTGTGCACACTTCTAAATCTTCATTTCGATCTGTGATTTTACATAGTTTCACAACTTAAAGGTATTCATACATAATTCTGTTATAACTTGTGATCGCCTATTAGAGAACAGTGAATTATCGATCGGATCAATGACGCGTAAAGCCCGTACGAGCAGCCTAGAGTTCTGATTGATCTCGCTTCCTGCCTAGCCCAGCCAGTTAAGTCCAGAACACCAATCCGAGCCTCTGCGATATGAATCATGTATTTCAAACATACTCGGTTTACATACCAAACAAGCAGACTACAACGTACCATAAAATAGAAAATAACATTTGTACAAAATCTGGCCAAAAGTGGCTGTGAATGAGGGAGGTGGTGATTAATAAACAGGCAATAATTCAAGAATGGAAAATCGTATAATAACAGTTCATTGGTTAAAATAAAGCTTATGATGAGAGAGACATGAATATGAATAGTTTAGTTAATTAATAATTACGCGATAAAATTATACGTATAGTATTGATCCACAAATGGATCCCAAAAATTACCACTCATTATTCTTATCGCGGCATAACAAATTCCCAAATCACTTACCGAACAATTAGCACAGAACCAACTCACATAATGAGATTATTTTATCATCCAACTCTGTTTTAAATAAATATTTACAGACTGATTTCTAATTTAAACTTGTTTTATGAAACAAAATACAATGAGAACTGTCATCCATATTTATTTCCTATCAAATTTAATTCTGAGACATCTTAATAGGAAAGATAAAGTATTACAGTGGTACTGCTTAGATTTTGCAACAATAGAATATTTCTGTAACAGCATAATCAAAATAGGAAAATATGAGTATGAACAGATTCATAGTTGTAAAACATTTACTAGCTAATTAAAGATGAAATAACATGTAATAGTTTGGTTAACAAGTTAGTGTTACACTACCTTAGACCTGTTCAGAAATATTTAAGTCTTGAAAGGTTTGTAAAAACCAGATTGTTGATCATACATAACAATTTTTTTTATATATATCAGTGATATAATAGAGGAAACTAAAATTCGCACTTGCCGTCCTACCATTAGAGGAGTAGATATGAGATAATTAAACCATTAGGATCAATAGGACTTGTTACTAGATAATAATAATTATGGGTCCTGGGTTACGACATTAGATCATATGAGCTCAATTACACAAAATCCGACCAAGTACTAAAATCTAGATTGCAGGCCAGAATAATTTATTGACACAGAATGCAAGCAGGAGCCAGTAAAGAATGAAATCCAATAATCGCTTATTTATTATAGTCGTATCCTACTTCCTCCAACACATCATTCAGCATATAAATTTCTTGTAAAGATACTTTGATGAATATATCTCTTAACTCTAGAAATGGTCAATAGTTAATAACAAAGTGTGCTTCTCATCCCGCTTGAGACTCATTCGTCACTAGATACTGATAATTAATCTATCAATATTCAAACCTAGCATCTATTAATTACAACACTCATCTCGTGCACACACTGAACGTGAATATATCCAGTGTACGAGGTATATCAGCAAGATATATAGTTTCTATATTTTACTGCTAACAACCGATACAATAATCCCTGGTTGTTTAGTTTATTGTTATTTTATAAGTAAAAATTAATCCAGATGTCATGGCGAGAAACGTTGGAAAATACATTTGTTATAATACTACTGGTTCGGATATAATAAACCTTGAGAACAACAGTCAGTAGCATGTCTTTAAAACAATAAATTGGATTGTATAAACAGTATCTTTCTCCTTACTAAATAGAAACAGTATTTCCGAACGAAATAATAACATGGTGGGGAAAAGAATTCGGATGCTTGATTTTTTTAAAATTTAATACAACTTAACCGTTAAGTACAAATTTATGTATGCATCTCTAAGGGATACACAATATATATCAAGGCTAGTAGTGATACTTATTGCCGTGGTAGCAATGTAGGCAGTGAAGATTAGAGCTTGTAATATCGTCATCGTATCTATTGGTTGTTTATTAACAATCTAAATCATTAAGCGCTTAAGAATAGTGAGCATTCTAATGATATAAGACTCATTAATAAATTACTTAAAGTGAC